AGAAGAGGTTCCTAGTGGTGGTATGAGATTTTTGCAAGCTCTTGTGCAAACTTTTCACCTGTTACATCTCAGTTACTGCTACCTGAGACACAGGACAGTTTAGTCCCCAGTCTTGCAGTCTTGAGATTCCTGGACAGACTGTAAGCTCATAAATCTTGTTTCATTAAGTCTTGCATTTAATGTGGCAGTCTGAATTTGACTTATATATAATTAGTGCTACATTTTATTTTGTGTAAGTGGAGAAAATACCTTTAAGTTCATTACTTGCTAGTATAAATTCTCACGTCTACTAGAAAGGTTTGAGTGAGAATATGAAATAACTGCTCAATTTTGTGAGTTCTTTGCACTAAAAGATAGAATTTGAATAGTGATAGAGACAACTTCGCAGCATATTCTGTAAGACCTGGTTTCTTTTTTGCCCCACGAGGCAATATTTCAGGCTGAATTTTCTAATGTATAAATTAGTGCTTTGGAAGTAACGCACCAGTAAGCACTACAGTTTGAGCACTTAGCTTAAAATAAGACACAGTTTGTTAGAGCACAACCAGTTAACTAAAAATGTGGGAGGATTGAACTCCTTGTCATAAAGGGTAAATTGAGAACCGGCTGTTTTGCTATGAATTACTTTTTCCTAAAGAAGAGAAGACAAATCAAATCTGATCGCTCTATGTAAAAAATGCCCAAAGTTGAAGTAGCATAAAGCTCAGTTTGTTCTTTCTTCTTAAGATATACGAAAGGAATTGCTGTATCTGTCTGGGTGCACTTAATGCTTCTGGCCCATTTGGGCGTTCTTTAATGTTAAATTATTGTAGTGAATTTAAGGCAGTAAGTCTGAAAGAATGTTTCCAGAATTGTAAGGATGTGTAGAAAGTGAATTCTATTTCTAAAATAATTGCACAAAAAATAGAATTATGAATTTGGATATAAAATAATTGAAAGAAAAAAAACCTTTAAATATATTACACCATTTTAGATTCTGTTTTGCTGGAAATTGAAAGCTTGTTCTCATCAAATGATGATTCTTCTAAACATAGTAACAGAAGCAGTGGCAAAAGGATAATTCAGTAAATCTCTCCTAAATTTGTGTCTACTCAAAATCTATATGATTACATAGAAATAAATACAGAAAATATAAATGTAAGAAATTCTGGCATATAAATACAAAAATACAAGAAAGTGAATTTGGTGCAGCATAAAAGCATTTTCAGTGCAGCTGATTATTTTTCATTCTGTAGCATTCCAGTCTGGCTGTAATGTCTTTACGTCAGGACATTCAGTACGTTCAGCTGCTAGGTTGGAGGAGCAGCAAATACAAGATTTGCTGTTTGATGTAATAAAAGCTGTTCCAGTTCACTCCTTTTTTTAATTGCTTTTAATAGTGTGGACACAAAGTAAAGTTTAATGTAAAAGGACCTAAAGCTGATGTGCTGATTTTTTTTTTTTATTTTTTATTTTTTTACTCCACAGAAATGACCAAACCTTATAGAAGGGCCTGTGGTTGTTCTGATTAAGTGTATTCCAGTGAGACTGGGGGAGTAGAGAGACAATTTAATGAAAATCCTTCCTTGCATTTTCTGCTGTTCCACCATTCACTTTTTTATTCAGTACAAAAATTATCCATGATTTTTGCTTCACTTTAGAAGTTCTTCTTTAAATAAGGAATTTAGACTTGCATAGCAGCAGTTCAAGCATTAGCTCAAAAATTGTAATTATTTGTCTCCTCTCTGTACTCTTTTCCTTTTCTTACCAGTACAATAATAAGCAGAAGTAGAACTATTTCCCTACCAAGCTATCAGTGAAATGTAGTTATTAGTGGGCTAAATGACAGATGTGGCTTGCTCTTGTATGATTCTAGTACTTCTTACCCTTCCCATTCCCAACACTAGCATTTTTTGTCTTACAGTTCAGATAATATTAAGAATCTTTTCCCTTATCTTTTTTAACAATGTAGGTCTAACTTCACTTTGTTTTTGTTTTTTTTTTCTGTTGAACCAGCTATGCTGTATTACCACACTTACCTGTACAGGGTATGGAAGTACCACAGACTGCAGGTCATGAGATATGGTGAGTATCTAGAACTGTGATATTTATTCAGAGTGGCTGGATCATAAGCTTTCTTAGGAGGAGATGCTGTTATTGTTCTGTGTTTCAGTTTTTGACAGTTCACTTCAGTAATAGCTTTCTGATTAAAGTTCTGGAGAAACACAGTGATTGGATATTTGGGGGATGCACAGGAGCATCCACACAAACACCAAGTAGATCACTGCACAGAACAATGCTGCTGCTTTCAGGCATGTTAAATATCTTACTATGAAATATGTATGCAAAAATGCAGAACTTAATTTTCTTACTTGGATAAATATGCTCTTTTTGCTTGAGGAAGTGGAAATAAGGTGCTGATACTTTCTTCTATTCTTTTTCAGTGTTGGAATGGCAGATGTAAAAGCTCTTAAATTTATCTGTGAACAAAAAGTACTAAATTAATACCTGTGACAAATTTGCTGACAGAGCAGGAAAATTGTTTTCTATCAGTAATTACTAACTAGAGCTATAAACCATATGGAAAGAAAAATAATGGTAAAATCAGATATTCAAAATACTGGCAATTCAGTTTATTCCAGTATCAATGTCAGCTGCAGCAGCTTTTGGTTGTAGGCACACAGTGGAGGAAGTGTTCACTTACGCGGTTTCTATGAACCATGTTGTTTTATGTGCCCATACTGCAATTTAGGGACAAGAGCATGGAATGCAGTTGCAACATAAACTGGGTCTTGATCTACTTATATCCTCTTCTTCCTATTTTTTACAGTCTGGAACCTCCATTCCCTCTTCCACTACCAAAGTCTTGCATGCTTTCGGAAGCACTGCCCCCTATGCTTCCAGAACCTGAACTTCAGGTCCATGCCCCTGATGCAGCAGATAGTTCCACTCCAGACTGTTTTAGATCCCAAGATGACACAGAGCTGAAAAAAGTGAGTTCATTTGAGATTTTAGGTATCTCAGATATCTGCTGGTGAATGTTACCTATTAAATGTTAAAAGACAAGGCTTCTAGTCCTAGTCTGTGCTCTTTGTTTCTTTTTTCTTCTTTTCCTTTTTTTTTTTTTTTTTTTAAGCAGAAATAGTGTGGAAAAAAGATGAGTGGGGAATTTGGGTAACTGCCATGGTAATTACTTCCTTCATCTTAACTGCTTTTTTTTTCCTTTTCTCTTTCTTTTTTTCCCTTAAGACTGAGCCAGAAGAGAGGCCAAAGAAAGTCTCACAGATCCGAATCAGGAAAACTGTTCCTAGGCTAGATCATAACCTTACTCCTATGGGACTACCCAAACCAAAAAGGTGAGCCACACCATTTAAATGGACCTTCTTTGGTTATTTTGTTTATTGTGTAGGAGTGCTGAAGGTCTGCATTTCTTCACGTAGAGATTTGATAATTAAGTGTGAAAATTAAGTTTTAAAATCAGTCTGAAGAGAGGAAATGTTATAATCTGCTAAACTGTGTTTCTTCGCTTCCACAAAAAAAAAAAAGTGACCTGTGAATGGCTTTCCCTTTCCTTTGGGCATCATTATCTCAAAACATCACAGTGTGCTAGAAAGGGCATTGGTCTGTGCAGACAAGACCAGTTTTGACACAGATGTTTTTAAAATGCCACCTGAAACGAGGTACTTCAGACTCATTTATTCATTCTTCTCTACCCCCAGTTATTTTAATTGGGTGTTTTAAGCTGAAGGATAATTAGTTAGCATTGAAGCACAGAAGACAAATAGTACAAATTAGTGATTCTAATAAATCACTGTGGTGTTAGAAGACACTTTTGAAATTTTTCTTTCTTGATTTTGTTCATTACTTTTCCAGGCTTAAGAAGAAGGAATTTAGTCTAGAAGAAATCTACACAAACAAGAACTACAAGTCCCCTCCTCCAGCCAGGTTTGTTGCTTCCTAACGAGAACACCACTGAGATAAATGTGCATTACTTAGGCAGAGAGAGGGAGCAGACTGAAGAGTTCTGAAATCTAAGAGGGAGTTAGATTTGAAAAACTGCTCGAGTTCAAAGCAATATGGAAAGATAGTGCAAAATCAGTATCTGACAGAATTCACACAGTAAACAGTGAAAAAGAATACAAACTAAGAATTTGCAGTTATCCAAGTATAGATGTATATTTTTATCTATCCATTCAATCTAGTCTCCATCCACATACTTACCTTTTCAGAATCTGAGGGCAACTGAATATTCTTTAAGTCACAAGAGTCTCTTATCAAGTATATCATGACTATCAAGACTGGTACTTTCTTCTATAAAATCAAATTTCTCTGTGATTGTGCTTTTGAACTGCAATACAAAGAGATTCAAACCACATGTGTATGCACCAATAACATTATTTAGCTAGCAGTATAAATGTGCAGTTGCTGGAAGTGCAAACTGTAAACATACATGAGAATATATATATGAATGGGCTCTAAAAATGTAAAAAGTAGGAGTGTTTGCTTGGGTTATGAAATCATTGGTCTCCCTGTCCTTGTAAGGGGACTTCTTGAGTATTCATCAGCTCTGTCTTCTGCTTCTGTCAGGAGCTTGGAAACAATCTTTGAAGAGCCCAAGGAAAAGAATGGACACTTGATTTCTGTCAGTCAGCAGAAGAGAAAGAGGATTCTGGAGTTTCAGGACTTCACTGTTCCTCGGAAGAGAAAGGCACGGGGCAAAATCAAAGCAGTGGGAAGTTTCACTCGAGCAAAAAAAGCTGCACCACAAAGTGCAGAGTTAGATGCCCTTCTGAGTCAGAAGCTAATGGACCTTGAAGAATTTTTTGCAAAGGAGGATGAACAGTTGTTGTCTTCTAGCACTGGGGGGAGCCATGAGCTGAAAATGGTCCAGTGAGCTACTTCAGTATGAATTGTAGTCCTTTTGGGAGAAATCTACTGATTTCTTACCTTACTCTACCACTCTCTTGTAATATATGACGATCAAGTAATGGCTGTGACCCTCTAAGGTGCTATTTAATCTGTTTTTCTTTTTGTTTTTTTTTTTTTCTTTTTTTGCTACTGGAGGGATTCTCTTAGGGTCACGTGTGACTTAGCATTCCTTCCCCAACCCCTGGAAGTTATGGCTAACATTTAGTTATGTTTCAAGACCTTTTAAGGGTAGAGTGGGAGTATCAGGGAGGAAGTAGCACACCTTCCATGATGCTGGGACTCTGTACTCCAAAATCTTTGCACATTGAATCTGCTGTTACTACTGTAATGGCTTTTTGAACAATATGACAGAAGAGTATGTGGTGTTTGGTAAAGATACATTTTAGCCAACATATTCTTGATAATACCACTAAATTTTTAATAATTAAAAATAGCATTCCTATCTTACTTTCAATTGTTTCTTCCTTCTGTTTATTTAGAAGGTTCCTTATGAATTTCTGTGCCCTTCCTGGCTTCAGGCAGCAGAAGCTCCACATAACTAGACTTTAATGAACTTGCACTTTGTATCCTTGTTTTATTTGCAGCATGAGGACCTCTTTTAACACAACTGAGATTACAAAACAAAAGAACAAGTAATACTTTCAGAAAAGATGATGCCCACTGCTATTTCTTCCTAAACAGTGATTTTTTTTTTACCAAATTGGCTGATACTTTATACCCCTTCTCCAGAGGCAAATCCCAGGAGTACGTTAAACCACAGGGTATGCAAGTAGAGTTTTTTATTAGCTGAGCTGAACTGCTTCATCCAAGAAGCACCAGCAAATCCTTTGAGACTCATTTCAAAGCGATTTTCATTTCAGAAAATACAGTCAGCTTGATTTGAACACCCGTTTTAGGTTTGCAGTTCAGATAGCTCCCAGTCAGATATTCTATGTACAGCACTGTTGTATGCAACAGCTAGTGTTGTACAAAGAGCCTCCTAGCATGTGAAAAACATTTATTTTTCATTAAGTGAGGCCATTTGTCATTAGATGATGCAGCACTGGGCAATTTCTCAGCCATAACTTTTAAGAGAAGAGCACTCGCTTCTGGGATAACTTCTGTTAAACTTACTTGAAGAGTAATTCAGAATGAATGCTAGCTGCAGTACAGGTAATTTCTGTCCTTTAGTGCCTATAGAAGTTATTCATGTGAAGCTGTCTTTGTTGGGATGTTCAAATTTAACCAGTTTATTCCTTCATTTGTCTCTTAAAACTTGCACTTTCTTAGTTACCTATCCATATAACAAAGTTTACATTCACATTCAGAATAAGCAACTATCTAGTGGGCAAGTATTTTGATTAAGTCCCAGTAAATGAAGAACTGAAAATACCATCACTGTCTTCTGCTGCTCTGCCACTTCTGTTACTGGCCTAACAGAAAACTCAGAATTAACAAGCAATCTGTTGAATTCCAGAGTTTGGAAAGTGGAGAAATGGAAGAAGAATATTACATTCTCTGTGCCTGAATCCTGACATAAATGTATTCTGGGTTTGTTTTGCTCTCAGCCTCTATGCTGGGATTAATGACAGTTTACATTCTTGTTTTGGAGGCTGATTAATCAGGAAGACTCAGGAAAAGAGAGAGTACAGACTTAGAGTAGTGGTCATTTGGATTTTGAGGATAAAATAAGGTAGGTAAACTTCAAACATACTGACACGCTGTTTCAGCAGCAAGGTCTGGTTAACCTAATTGAGCTGCTGGGGAACATTTTAATTGATCTTATTTTTATAGAAATCCCTAAAAAATAAAAAAATAAAGGTCAGCTACCTTTCAAAAAATATTTGAAACTGTCTCTATGTTGGCTTATTGCCCAAATATTGACTGGATGGAAGCTGTTGCAAGAGTGATATATATACACACATAGATATATTTTTATGGTTTTATGCTGTAGAATGGAATTGTGACACAGTGTTAATTAACCTTCTGTTAAAATGGGAGGCTTTTACTGTTGTGACAGAACTGAGCTGTAACCTCATTGGGGCTTTGAAGAAAACAGGGTGAGAGGGAGGGAGTTGGGCCCAAGCAAAGTTCGGGCTTCTGATGCGCTTCAAAATATGGAAATTTTTGTGTTGTTTTTTTTTTGTTTTTTTTTTTTGTCTGCTTCCTTGCTCTGTCTTGTATCTAATTAATTGCTTTGAAACAACACACTTCTTAACTTTTTAATAGTTACAGCAGAGGGGGCATAAGAAAGAAAACACTTGATCCCCTTTTATTTACAATAATTGCAGGAGTAAGAAGATGATGTAGCAGTTGCCTAGGTTGTCTCAGACCTTAGGGTCTGTGAATTATTCTGATTTGGTTTAATATTTGTATGGTAGAGTCGTAAGCTAATTGAGACAAAGCATTTTTTTTTCTTCCTCCCCCTATCCTCCTCAGGAACAGATGTCAGTCATGCGTGTGCACTTTTTTCCCTCTCCCACCCCTGTCCCTATTTACAACACTCACAGAACAACCTTGTTCCTTGTGGCTGTTCTTTGTACACTGGGAGTGATGATGGTGCAAAGGTAGGTAACTGCCACTCTGGGCTGCTTCTGTCTCAGGTTATTGAAGGAAAAAAGTAGAGAGAATGTTTGGGAGTCTAAAATACTTCCCTAGTGGAAGAATGTCTACAACTCTCTTTTCATAGAGCCTACTCCCAAATTTTTTTTTCTTGTAACATCATGGAAAGATATTGATAGATATGGCTCACAGAATGATGTCTAGAGCAGCTTGAGAAGAAACGCAAAGCTTTTGGCGTTGCACCATTGCATAGCAGTTGTTTTTCAGAGACAGGCAGCTCTTTTTACTAAATTTGCTGATTATGAGGGTTAGGGTTTTTTTCTTAAAAACAAAATCTTATTTTCATCATGCTGCAACTGGAGCAGCTAAGACTACTTAATGTACATTAGGAAGTTTGCCTGCCTGGCCTTGTAGCTGCATACATTTGAGTTCTGATGTTTGCTGGATATGATCTTCTGCAAGCAGTTCTCATTTATTGTATTTCATACGATTCGGGCCTTTGGCATATTGTGTTCCAGGTGCTTTTCTAGGATATGGATGCTAACTGTGGATTAAATGTCTATACAGTGCTATCATGTCAACAAATAGCTCAGTGAGAATTTGTACGCCTGTGCCATTAGCCTCCATCAAGCTCTTGGCATTTTATTTGTTCAACTTTGTGTGAATTTAAAATTTTACTGTTTCTTTTGTGTGTTTTTAATTTATGGAAATAAATTTTTCTGAGACCCTTTCTGTTGTTTTTGTTTGTTTTTAAGCCTTCTTCAGGCTTGTATTAGTAAATGCACACAATACATCTGTCCTACAGCTGTGGGGAAAAAGGTCCAATCTCCAAAGAGACTGACAGCAATTATGTGGGTGGGCTGTTAGTGAGGTATGCAGCAGCAATTCCAGTGTTGATTTTCCTATAGCCATACTGTAAAAGAAACAGAGATGGACCTGTGCTCTATAAAGCACACTCTGAACCACCAAACTACTCTTCATAATACTAACATCGAGACAGCACAGACCATTCCCCCTAGGTTTGGAACCAACTATTTCAAAGCTGGAGCAGCACCACGGTTCACATCTAATGCAATCTGTGAAAGAAATCAAACCCCTGCTTCTAACTCAAAGTTGAAGCATGGGAACATCAAACAGGGCTCCACAAGCTTTTGTAAGAGCTGTAACAGAAAGTAATTCCCCTCCCCCACAGCCCATTAAGTCATGCCTATAACCCAGGTTTCAGTGTACTACATATTCAGCAGCATTCTCGCTCTCGGCGAAGCTGTTCCTGTGATTGAAGTGCAATGTTATGCGAGTCCTGCAGGTGGCATGTAAGCTCCAGTAAAGAAAGGAAAGGAGCGCTCCAAAGACCTCCAATAGACCCTGCTCTTCCTCCACTCCATCAGAGCTACAGCTTCCCGGCTGTGATGCCACACGTGAAGGTTTTGTTCTGCTACCATACTGCGACTTGTCTACATTTTATTTCTCTCCTTTCTTTCTTAAAGGTACACGGCTTTGGATTTGCATCTGCTTTCTGCTATTTGCTTAGTTAATGACAAGTGTGGGACAAATGAGTTAGAGACCATCCTCAATGCTGATGGTCTGCATCCAAAACCCTCTGTGCTGCTCAAAGTGCAATTTACTTTTTTCTCAGGAAGCAAAAAAGGGAAATGAAAAAGGCTAATGTAAATCAAAGGAAAAGCAACCTAGGCATGAAATAAGCTGCTTAAAAACAGGTCACTCTAGCACTGTATTTTACAACAGTATTTTTGAGCTCTTACTGGCTAGTTTTGCTTGATTGAGGGGTTTTATTGCTTTGTGGGGTTTTTCCCTTGCCCTGTAGGGGAGGTAGATTTACTTTCTCTAGTGCAGCTGGCCAGTCTTCACTTATGCCCTTTCTCTTATTGATAGCAGGGGTTAGTGCAACTGTATTTATAGAGCAAGACTGTGACATTTGGGTTTAAGCTGGCTGTTTTGGTCTTTGTGCTGTTGTATTTATTTTAATTGAGTTCAATTTGCCTGATCAGGCAGCATGGGGGTAGGTCATAACACTTGTTGGAAAATGAAATGAGTAGTCATTCACACAAAGTCCTCCCCCAACAGGCAAAACAAAACTATGATTTCAACACAGTGCATGATAAGACTTGATATCACATTCAGACAGTTTCTGTGTGTAAAAAAAAAAAAAAAAAAAGCTGAATTTTTTTTTAATTAAAAATTTGTATTTTGACAGTAGAAGTGTCACTGTAGTTACTATAAAGTAATGATTTGTGCTTCTGAGAAGAATGGGAGTTGCTTTGAAGTAATGCCTCCTTTTCATTTCCATGGAAATAACAGCTACAATCACACTATCTGATAGAACAAACTCTCAGCTACGAAACAGTTTTTTAACACAGTCACCACTTTTAGCTGTGTGTTTTTGTCAGCAATGAACGAGAACCTGCATGCCACACTTGTAAAAACATACACCAGTGGAGTTGACCCACTGTTGCCACTGCTGAAACACACCACCCATCCCTCACTGTGCTCACAGCCACTGTGCAGTCTCTGTAAACATTCAGCAAGCATTGGTGGATGTCAAGGGTGCCATTTTTTTCCACATGGAGAAATTCAATTATACACCTTTGCATCACATCAGACGCCATTCTGTCAAGAATCCTTCTCTGCTGCCATCTGTCACACAGCAATAGGACGTAACAATAATTGTGGGAAGGTTCAGCCTCTACTGCTGTACCACCAACATCCAAACCTAACATCATGGGCCAACACAATAAAATAGAAGGCATTACTTTTGGAGCAGCCCTCATATATCCATTGCTTCCCTTCAATTTAAGGCTGCAGGAATCCAGGTCCACTTGTTACTTCATGTCTTACAACATGAATTTGAGAGAAAAAGATTTTGATTTACCCGGTATAAATCCTTGATTAAAAAAAGGAAATGTGTTATTGCCAGTTAAAAGCAGAAGAGACTTCTGATAGTGATTACATAAACCATCTATCATACGTGTGTGTGTTCAACATGGGCTGCAATTGCAATACAGGAAGATAATTCTGCAACCACCAATATCAGTTTCCATGCAATATCAGTTGCACTTTTTGCATGGAAACAAATTTTAGAAGATAAAACAGGTAAAGCAAGGTGAACTGCTACCCACTAACCTGCGCCACTCGTGACAGTCCATTCTTTAATCCACTGCACTGACCCTGCTAGTCCCCCAAAATGCTGAATCCTCCATAGTAGGCAATCAGAACTGCTGATCCTAGTTCTGTGCTGTGGGTTATGAGGACTGGTGAAAGCTGCTGCACACAATTCCGTGCTTCAAACAAGAAAGGGATGACATAGCAGTAGTATTACATGATCATAAACATAAAATCTACTTTCTAAAGAAAACAAAGGTTATGACAAAAGAATAACCAGCATATGTGTCCAGAGGTGCCAGTTTCCTTGCAGATTGCTCTGGATAGGCAGGACTAGTCTAGTTCTTTGTTTTCAGCATTGGTGAAAGCTCATGCCTTGCAAAGCCTTTATAGCAGCTGTCAGATCGATGAGGAGGCACAGATATCCTGCTTGCAAAAGTCTAAGATGCCTACAAACCAGTAAGAGAATACATCTTTAAAGACTCCATCAGCATTGACAGTTACAAATTCTCTAGCTACCGTTCAGTAACACTGAACAGAGGTGAAATTCCCTCTTTGAATTTCAGTTTTTTAACAACTAGTAAACTCTCAGGCATCTAAACATTGTGCAATCTGCTTTTACTTCAACACAGATTTTTAGGTCCCCTAGCAGCTCAGTCCTGACTCATAAGCCATTTCATTTCAGTTCCAGTGAGAACTAAATATAAATTTCATATAGCTTTCAGTAGATAATAATGAGAAAGCTGTCCTATAAATACAAAAAGATTTTTAACTTGAGTTCTTTGCTGTAATTTTTAGTGCATCCTTTTTAAAAATGGAATTTTAAACTTATTCTGAGGTTGAATATAAAAGTTTGAATATTTTCCCCAAGCCTGACGTATCCAGATCTTTGGGATAGGAAAAAAAACTTTGAGTGGAAGTAAAACAATTCCACTTCAATAACTTCATATTTGCTCTGACACATATTGGTTGTATCGCTCCCACAGACCCCTGGTTTCAGTGCTTACAGATAGCAGTTGCAAGAGGCCTAAACATACTCCAAATGTTATACTCCATTAACAAGGTTGTGTAGAAATCACCTCTAAAGTCAATGTAAAGCACAGGGCCGTGTCTGTGCACAGAAAACTTCCTACTGCTTTGCATTTTTCTCTAACTCAGAATGAAGAATTTGACTTTACCTGCAGGTGTACAATTAAACACTGATTCTGCCAGCTGAAAGAAAGGTTCTCCAAGGATTTCCTGATAGCTCATGTGAGTTGCAGGAACAAGGTACTGAGTGGCATCTTTGAAAAGCAGATCACTCTCACCATATTTTTGTGACTGGAAGAGACGGAATTCAGAATCCAGTTTGGTCTCCAGAAATTCCTAAACAGAAAAGAGGTTCCACAGTTTGGACTATAAATACCAAGGTTATGTTGGTGACCATCAGCTTCATAATAGGATCTAGCAGGAAGAAAACAAAAAACAGATCTACTTTCATTCAGTACAGTCATACAAAAAAAGATATGACTTTGGAGTGGCTTTTTTCTCAGAAGGAGTGTGATGGCTACCAATGGCCTTTGGAGAGTTCAAATAATGATTTTTCTCAATCTCCTACATACATTCTTAATTCTGTCACATCAGATCTGAATGCACTCTATATATTTAGTATATAAAGCTCTTGATAACAAAAAGGTTTCCAGAATTGTATATAAGAAGTCTTAACATATTAACTTTTTCCCCCATTATCCACCTTACCTGAGATTTCATTAGGAAGTCATAGATTTTAGTGACAGTGACTGGTCGAGTCATGACTGTGCTGGGAGGAACTGGACCAAGGTTGCAGCCAGCCCATTCGGTGACTGCAGCACGCGTTCCATCCGGACACAAGAGTTCAAAGTCAACAGCTGTATAACCTTTTGCCCAACCAGAGCTTTCCAGATCTGAAAAGAAGATGAAGTGAAGGAAAATCCTTTTGAAAAAACAAATGCAGAAGACGAGGTGAATCTCATGCAGTGAGGAAAACAGAGAGGAAGGAGCTGAGTGAATACACATGCTGTATATTCATCTATTAAGAATGCAAATGGAACAGTTGGGTGTTTTCTCTGAGGAACCAAGTTAATGAGCTGAAGCTAGTTTTTAGAAGATAGGTGCAGAGCAGCACTAAAGCATACAAACAGCTTATGTCTCATCTTCACTGATCACTTCCTGAATACAAAGAAATTCATACTCCTTGTCTGTGCTTCCTCAAATAAACTGCTCACTGCTGCATGAATTCCTGTGGGTTTCCCCAGGTTCTTATATGCCTGCTTGGTTTTACAGATATTTCTCTTTCATAAAGTTTTCTTCTGCTACTGAAATTGACCGAGTTGAATTTCAGTGTATTTTATCAGGCTGAACAAAGTGGGAGTGCCCTGTATTCTCACCTCTATGAGTAGCACATTTTGGCTCTCAGACCAGTAGAAGTAATTTAAGAGATTTGAGAGGATTTAAGCTCCTGTAACTGAAACCATTTCCACCAACAAAATTCAACAGCTACACTCTTGCAAACTTCAGTTTCCTGGAAGAAGTTACTCATTTCTCACTGCAGCAATGAAATACTTTGCAGTATTTTTACCTACTAAACTGCCTACCTGGACTATTTATTCCAGAAAGTACCTATGAAACAACAAAAAGTTGTCATGGTGAAGCTATAGAATACCTCTGAGGACAAGTAGCCCACAGTGTCTCTGTTCTTTTCATTCTTTAGACTGATACAAACAGTGGGTACATGCTCTGTACATGCCTGTGTGAGAAGGTGCAGTGGGAAAAGTCAATTTTTATACTTTGAGCTTTCCAAAAACTAGTGCAGTCTCCAAGGATGATTTCCCCTCCTGTCCCCAGCAAACGCATTAATCACTCAGTGATTCTTTCTCTTTCCTTTCTGAAATTGAACAGTACCTGAATTTAAAGCTTTACCATAACATCTACATGCAGGAAAGTTCCTGTACGTTTCTGGTTTCAAACACAATTTCATGGACTTAATTTAAACCTATTCCACACTGATCCTGAGCGGTCACAGTCACAGTGTGGAAAATGAGAACAGTTTACACTGTTAAATTAGAAGAAAATAACTGCATCTCACTCTCTATATTCCAGAGTAGGTTTGAGTGTTCCAGAAAAGCTACATCTCCAAAGCTTCTTCCACTGGGATTGCCAACTAAGCACCTAGCATAGGAGGAAAATAAAAAGTTACCAGAGACAGCCATTACAATGACTGAATCTTAGACAATCATTGGAAGCTAAAACAGGAGTAGCTGAAAATATCTTCATCTGAAGCTATTTGGTCATTATGTGTGGAACAAGTTAGTGATGTCAGCACAGATGTCAGTGGGCACCATTCATGTGTTTGTCAAGACAATTTCGTTTATCTCTTAAAGCAGCTCCCAAGTCAAAGCTGCAGCACAGCATCCAAGTAACCCCATCTGTTCCTAGCCAGGAAAGAGAATTTAATTCAGCTAAATGAACTACAGATATTCTATGAAAGCACTTTCACTGTTAATGTTCCTTTCCTACACAACCTTCAACTATTTCTTCCTTTTAGAAATATATATTATAATAATCCAGTCTAATCACTGCTTATTACAGTGCTTGTTACTACATCATCTCTGCTTTCTGATCTTCTAAGTATTTTTCCATCTCTTAAATGAGTTCTGTTCCAATGCTCCACATCTTACATGTTTGGAAGCATTGTCTTGCTCCATAAAAGGTTACATGAAACTCTCCAACCATCTGAACAAATCATAGCAACTGCAGCCTAAGCAAAATACATGCTACCAAAATACAGCCAGTTGCTTAACGAAAAAGCTTCCATAGAAAACCATCAGTAAAATAATAAGCCAATCCTGGCTATTGCTCCATGTTTCTGACTCTGGAAAGAAGTATTACCTGAGTGCTCCCATATTGCCATAGTAGTGTTCATTGTGACTGGCAGCGCATCTGCTGGATACTCGAGCTCCTTCCACCTCAGTGTCTCCAATGCACACTTTGCACAGGTTTCCATCTGCTCCTGGCATGCAGCCCTTCCAAAAGTAATTCTGGTAAACTGAGCAGAAGAAAAAACTCAGGTGAGATTAGAGCAAAGTATCTTCTTCCGCTGGAAGAACTGGATTCCATCTTAGTAACTGATGGAAAGAAGCCTAAATGGCATGAAGAATCACACATACTCAGATAAGAGGAATAATTGTTTCAACAACCTTTGAGACTGCACTTGCTGGCCATGTGACTAATCAACTCTTTCTTGGGTAAAATGGCAAAATGATAGAACTAAGCAACTCAAGAAAGTAAACCAAGCTGTAGTGTAAGAGTAGATCATGTTAACTATGTAGTTAACTATGTAGATCATACAGCAGCTGGTAACATCTCTATTCATACCTAACCTTGAAAGTATTGACAATTGGAACAGCACTTTTTCTCTCCTATAACATGAGAGATAGAAGCAGGAGATCACCATCCTCCAGGTTTTGGAGTAGCCACACAGAAACTAAACTGAGCACAAGCACAGCACAGAAGGATCAAGAGGCAAGACAGTGGGTGAAAAGAACAAGGGGAGGAAGAGTTTCTATTACAACTGTACTTGGTCTTCCTAAAATATTTTGAGATAAACCTAGCCCATAACTTTTTACACCCAGAACATAAACAAATGCATTTGAGCTAATCAATTAGACAACTTAATCAAGAAAGAGATAGAGAAATTGACTGACTTTTAAAGAACAAAACACAGAATCATACACATTGAGCTCTAGGAGTGGATACTTGTCTTTTGATGATCCTTTCTTTTGCATGTAGGCACAGATACCACTATTATTTATGGTGCATCTGCTTGCTAAGGAACATCACATGTAGTCTAGGAGAAATCCACTACTGAAAAGAGAGCTCTATACAGGAGCACATCATAGCAAATATGAACATCTCCAATGATATGCAAGACCGAAATTCTTTTACTCTGCCCTCACAGACTCTTTTCAATCTTACTTCCTAAACTAAGATTCCTTCTAAAGCCTAAATGTTAGGCTTTAGACTTCAAGAATCTCCTCACAGATAACCCAGAGCGACTCATACCAGATCCGATATCACAGTTTTCAGTAATGTTTTCCAGAGGTCCCACTGTGTATCTGGAAAGAAGTAACCATCCTCCAGGACTGTACAAGTGGCTGTGACATGATCGCCTCCCCCGCAGGTTATGGATGTTAATCTGTTTGGCATTTTTCTTAGCTAGGGCTACAGCATAAACAGGTGACAGTCCTACAAAACAATGACAGCAACCAGTTATATAAAGGCAATGAAGTATTCCAAATAGGCAGAGCCCCAGTCTTCCCTCCCTCATCCCCTCATGGTATTTTCAGTTAGTGGTGGATCATCTGCATTCTTTGCTTAGCCACAGAGCTCTTACCCTAGCAGCCACACATTGTAGTGAAAGTTCTGAAAATGCAGTGCAATTTCTTTCCCAAATGAGTATGCAAACACATCCCAACAGAAATCTTAAGAGGCACTCTCAGGAAAGTTGAAATATTTTGCCTTTCCAAAGTTCTCTCATTACCTTTGCGCTTCAGATGAAGTTTGCTAATTTCCTCTGTGCTCTCATCAGCTGGAGCACAAACCTGCCCTGGAGAGAGAATACAACCATTAAGGATCTTGCAACTGCTGTCATTCTCATTGCATGGCAGCACTGCATAAAAAAAAAAAAAAAAAAAAAAAAAAAAAAAAAAAAAACTTTATCACCTTGCAATCCCCTCTTGAACCATGTCAGTATCTCCACCCCTTTCATAGAAGAGATACAATACACAAACAGATCAAAAGCTACAGCCAGTTAATGGAAGAGCTGAGAAGGGTGCCTGGATATGTGTATGGATCCCTGCTTCCATAACAAAACATCACAATGTGTCAACATTTAACTATGTTTATATGGTGCACACAAGAACTTACCATAACACTCTGCAGCTACAGGCACCAATCCACACCTCCCTGCAATGTAGACGTGGGTTGCATCCAGAGTGACTGCATCAGCCTCACTACTCTGTCAACAGCATTACAGAAAATAACACAAATAGGAATTGCATTAATTGTTTAACCAAGCAGCTGTACTTCTCCACTGGCTGGAAATTCCCCTGCATAAATTGCCTGTCACTCCTCCTACACTGCTCCCTCTAGTGTAGAAGTGTTTTTCCACTTATCCTTGCTTAAGCTGAACATGCACGCTGTGCAGATTATCATGCTCTCCGAGGGACTCTCCTACCTTGATCATTTCAATGCAGCTTGCCATGGAAGTTGCTTGGACACAGACTAATGGGTCAGATTTGATGCTCAGTGCCCACTCCTCACATTTGCGAAGCTCAGCATTACTGATGCAGCACCAGCGCACAACTCTGTTGTCCAAGGAGCTCCCTGCATTAGAAAGAAGGAGCACAGTGGAACCACGTCAATCATACAACAATCTGTTCTTCATTAAGTGGATGCTTCAGTTTATTCATTTGGGTCTGGCAGGGAGGAATAGCATAGGACATCTACAGTCCTCCAGAAGCTTCTTACCTTCATGACCTAGTCCCTTAAGGAGAGCTACATAATCCAGACCAAGGACATATGCAATTTCTAGCTGTTCCTGGAGAAGTTGCAGGTGCTGAGTGGCATCTCGAAAGAGAAGGTTCTTCCCTCCAAAGGATGATGAATTGAAAAGTTCAAATCTGGCTCTTTCCTTTCCTTTTCGACCAAAGAGACGCTAGGACAAAAGAAACATTTTTAATTGCAAAAATTCATCTTATCCTTTTAGTGTCAGGCAGCCTCACTCCCTTCACCCATCATAGCAATGGCCTGTAACATAGTGTTCAGTGTTCCAGTATCCACCACACTGTGACAAAGCCCATAGGTACCACAGTGGCTGGATGGTTACAGTCCTACAAACATATTGCTTGAGATTCAGTTTCCTTTTTTGAAGAATTTTATTCCTCATCTTAGTTATCCAAATTCATTGGGCTGTGCTCAATGCCACCTGTCCTATAAGGGCAACTAAAGTAGTTTGGCCAAATGGGAAACGTTTGTGACAGATAACTGCAGTAACTGGGTACAAGATGTCTTGTGCTTTACAATGGGAAGCACTGTGTGCAAAGGAGAGCTGTCCAGCTTGATGGAAGAGTAGCATGCACTGAAGAATGTACTGGGAATATTACTTCATAGCCACTGTTATGTATAGGGAACATAGCTAAGGAACGTGCCAATAAGCACACTGACAAGGACATGTGAAAAACCTCTCACAGAAGGGATTTTGTACTTCCACTGTTTGTCCAAGTTCACAAGATAGCACAACTCACTGGGTTGGAATTATTCATTTTGCTGTGTTATTTAAAATGTGGAGTGGCTTCTTAACATCTTTAAGTAATACACATTTCAAGTTCAGGTCCACATAAATTCCTGGATATCAATGTAACAGATGCTATAAATTGTTTCCCTCACCCTCTTAAAGCTGAATCTTGCCTGAACCCACGTGCCTCTTATCATATAAGCTTTAGAGCAGAATGGAAATAACCATCTATTTTCCAATTTGGGTGTTCTGACATCTTCCTCTTCCTAACTTATTTCCACTCTTCTACAGAAGAACAACTCAGAGAGAAGTAAAATTTTCCTTCAGAAACTAGTACAGGACCTTTCCCCAGAACAATTAATGTTGAACATTTTCTTCAGAATAACTACAAATTTATTGAGAAAAGAAGGCAAACTGAGTGGTGAGCTCCACACAAATACAGAAGAAAATCCCATGTACAGAGATATACAGCTTACAATATCCACTCACTTGGATCATGGTAAGAAATTTGTTGGTGATCTTTTGGAAGTTGTGGCGGGTGATGATGCCACGGCCAGGCCCCTTGCCCAAGTTACAGGTGTTGTACTTGCTCAGCTCAGCTGTAGTTCCATCAGGACATAAGAGTTCATATTCTTGTTGTTCTGACTCTGAAATAACAGGACATTCATGAAACACTGAAAATTAAAAGGAATCTTAATACTCAGGAAATCAGCTGGCAGCTGCACAGACTTTAGCCTAAAGAAATCACCTGCATTAAAATGCCTGTCTGCTCCCATCCTATCAACCTCCTTTTCTGTTTTCCTCTGACTTGTGTGGAGAGCCAAGAAATACCACTGAACTGCTTACAGTGACTGACAATAAACATACAAACACATCTCCCAAACTCCCATGCAGGAAATAGCACAAAGGTTAAAAGGAATCTGAGTTTTTAGGACTACCTGTGGCTCTCATAATTGTCAGGTGATCTAAAAAGGCAACATCTGCAACTCCATCCTTCAAGCACCTGCAGGAAGACAAATGCCATCCATTAACATGTCATCTGCCTTTTCTCTCCTCACTAGCTCTTTTTCCCCAAAGGTGAATTCAGTATAAGTTCAAAACAGCCAGTTTACCTGAAAGCTCCATCAGAGTCATAGAAGGGTTCATTGCTGCTGGTCTCACAGAAGTGGTTCTTGTCCCTGATATATGACTTTTGTCCTTGGCAGAGAGCACACAGCTGAGGAGCAGCAACACCAACTCCAGGGATGCAACTTGCATTGAAATACTCACTGATTACTGCAGGGAAAAAAAGAGGGAAAAGTCAAATACAAAAAGATGGAAGAAAGAGGCCAAACATATTATGACTGTAAGTAAGGCAATAAGCTGCTTTAGAAAAAAAGTTGCTCTTCGGCAAATAAATGCAGCTTCACTATCTAAATTGCAAATTTGAAATGTTTGTTGCAAACAGAGTGATCTGATTTTTCTTGTTCAAAACCATCTTTGTGCTGGCTTGATATTGCAAAGTCTTGTTCCCTACTGTATACAAAACACCAAGATTTTCCTGTTTTGGTAACACTTCTGCCCCTGTTTCACTCACTCTTGCTGAGGGCAGACACAGCTACAGTTGCTATCACACACCTTGGCTCAGGGGTTGTCCCTCATCCCAGGAAAGATCATTCCTTGCAAGGAGAAATCCAAGTGGAATATTCCAGCCTGAGGTCCATCTGGCTCCATTGTGGCAGCTGCGCACACCGCGTAGCCTCTGGATATCCAAAGTTCCTCGTTTGGCAACAGCCACAGCAAAAACACAATTTCCTGTGATAGGACAAAATATGCAACAGAAAAAACTAAAGCCCAACTCCCCAGCTTCTGTCTGTGCACCAGGTTCAATTCCCCTCTAAATGTTGCAAAGAAAAAAAAAAAAATTAGGCACATTAAACTGAAGAATTCATATCAGGAATTTCACACTATACTGATTACATAGCGAAAGTGAGCACCATGAAAAGGCAAGGCTGCTTCTCAGGAATTTTGAACATTTGTATCAAAGAGTTTGAGGTATCCCAACAGAAAGAACTCCTGTTTTATCCTCAAAACCTAGGGGTCAGATGACAGAAATGTATCGATTCCACTAGGACTGCATGGTTTTTCAGTCAAAACAAAACTCACTTGTGCTCTGGCAATGTCCTCTGATTAGTCTCTTCCTACATCCACCTGCTAATTTGGCTTCCTTCTCAGAGTCATGCCCCCCAGGTATTTCCTACAATATACTTGGCTTTCTCTTGCAAATCAGTCAGTGCACAGACTGCTCAGCTAAAGAATCTTACCGTAACATTCACCATCTTATATACTTCTCTTTCTGTGAAGAACAGAGAATGAATTAACAACAGAAACTGATCTCTTAAAGAACAATTAATAAACAGTCGTACTAATAAGGAATATGGTATAAGAATTAACACAGATGGGATAAAACATTCTTCATTCCCTATGCAATGTGGAACCCCAGTGTATCAGTGCTGTGGGCAGGGGTGGATACAGTTTATTGTGATGAGAGCACCATAGGCTGGAAAGAAAAAGCACCACTGGAATTTTATTCATCACTGTATGTTTTACACACACCAATGTAAAGTATATGTTGTTAGTCATCTCCATATTCCCACAAAGTGCTTAAGAATCAATAGGCCTTTTTTCCCCCAACTTTTAGAGACTTTGCCTGCAATTTACCAGGCAAATCAGAAGCACAGTTCATTCTTCTTTATGTACGTACCCTGTTCATAGATCTCCTTTGCCACAATGGTCAAACCATACAGCTTTACAGCAGAGTAAACATCTCCTGCATCCAGAGAAGCAGCATCTGCTTTATTCACCTTAAAAAAAAACCAAACACCACAACAGCAAAACCCTCAAAACAAGTTTGTTTAAATGGAAACAGAGCAGTTCACCAGGCTGAAACTCTGCTCTTGAAGTGAGCAGCGACTTTTACAAGCATTTGCTTTGTTTTTAACTGAATCTCTGCTATTAATTACTAACACTTCACCAGGATTAAGGCTATTACTTTCAAACAAGTATCTGTGCTTTATTAATATTAATTAATATTAATTAATTAAGATATGTGCTTTTAAGATATGTGCATTAATTAATTAATATTAATTCCAGTCAGAGTAGGATTGAAACTTACAAGGAAGGAAAAATGCTCTGACCTGGCTTTAATTCATTAGTTTGGATTTGTCCATTTATTTTCATGCAATTTTATATTTATTTCTTGGAAAACGCAAGCTGGGGTAAAATAGTATGGTTAGCAGAAGGCTCACATATTTGAATTCTTATCTCTCAAGCCACCTTGTACAAGGCCTGTTCTGAAAGTAATGCCTCCCATTTCATCATGTTGGCAGGATGGCAGTAGAAGTGACTGATAGCAGCAGAGGGGCAGTGTGACAAAATGGTGCCTGACATGGAAGTGTGTATGAGGCAAAGGTGTATAACTGAATTAACTGACTCTTGCTGAACACTTATGGAGACCAAACAGTGGATGTGGGCACAGTGAGGCAGTGGGTGGTGCATTCTGACAGTGGCAATGGTGATGTGAAAGACAAGCCTCATTCAGATGCCCATAGAGATTTTTACAAGAGTGGTATGCAGGCTCTTGTTCACTGCTAGCAAAAATGCATAGCTGATGGTGGTGACTATGTTGAAAAATAGAGCTTTGTAGCAGAGAATTTGCTTTGTCAAGTAGTGTTATAGTGCTCTTTTTATCTGCTCTAGTTTCTGTGGAAACAAGTAGGAGGCATTATTTCTGAAACATCCAACGTACTTTCTCCTATGTGAGACACCATCCTGTCAATAGCATTTCATTCTCCACGAGTTGACAGCCAGTTTCTACTTCAAAAGAGAATTTGGTTCAAATTAAGTTAGTTTTAAAAATCTTTGTGAACTTACTCTGATTTTATCAATGCAGTCATATGTATTGTGGGCTCTGATGCAAGACATCCTGGCAAACGAATCGGTGCTAGTGACAGGCAGCACAGCTGTCAGTGCTTTGGACAGCTCAGCACACTTTCTCTGTTCTAGATCAGAGAGGGTGCACCATCGAAACTTTTTCCCTGTGGGATTAAAAAAAAAAGTCAAGATCTATAGGACTTAGCAAAACCAAACTCAGTTTAAGGCCCCATGGATGGAAGAGGTTATTTTGTTTTAATTAGCTCCATAAATAAGACTCTGATCACACAGACATCCACACACATGAAGGCACAGGAGAGATGTACCCAAGCACTTTGGCTCCACGCATGAGAGCAAACATCTGCCATTAAGTCTCTATGCTTCCTCTTGACTGGCAGCAACAAACTAGTTTTCAGACAGATTTCTCAAGATTCAACAATTATTACGGCATGATCTTTTCCTGGGCACCTGAGAGTAAATACAGGGGCTCCTCAGTGTGCTCCAGGGCACCCCAGAGGCTTCCCAGTGTGCCCTACATATCGCCCAGGGTCCCGCAGAGCATCCTTGGGTGCCCGAGATCACCTGCAATGATGCTTCTCAAGACTATCCAAGAAGCTCCTCAGTGTGGCCTAGATGCTTTGCAGGGTCCACCAGTGTACTTTGAGGCACCCAAGAGTACACATAAAGCTCCTCAATTTGCCACAGTGCACCTAAGAAGCTTCCCAGCATTTTCTCAAGTGCCTGAGAGCTATCTTCCAGATATGCACTATGAGAGACAGAAAGTGAGGACAGTTCTGTTATTGAAAAGCAATAATCACGTACTACGCTGAACAGTGTATCAGAAAAACATTATCAACAAGATCATCACATCAAGCAAGAACTCAAAAATTACCTTCATTTCTGAATGAGCTCACAGAACCTGCACAGGATTGCTCTGTAAATTTGTAGCACAACTGAACTACTTAGTTGTCAGCTCTTTCCCCAAATGAAAGCTGATTAACCAATTTAAAAAAGCAACCAACAACTAGTTGCTAGGAACTCGCGCAGCAGAAAGAATGAGGAAGATACAATTAGAAGTGGAGGTGAAGGTGATAACTCCCTTTCCAGGGGAAGCTGAGGGTATGGTTTGTCTATACTGACTGTAAGTCTACAACCTAAGGGGACACAGATTTGCCAACAACATTACCGCTTTTGCTTCATACTCCGTAATTATCCATTTTGGATCTATTCAGATTCATTTTATATTCTTCTCATCAACTGCCCTCTACTATAAAATATATTCATATGCATTTCAAGAAGATATGATGCATTTCAGGAGAGAAGAAAGTGGATTCATACATGAAAGCAGCCTGCAGTTATACAACTTGACAGAATCATGTACTGAATAGAAAGAAGAGACTGCAACAGCTTGAATACTGTCATCTTCAGAACACCATTTGGTTTTCTATCAACCACTTAATATTAAAAAAAAAACGCCTGGAATAACAAAGTTGAATACTAGAACACTGAAGCTTTTATTCCTTGGAGCACGATGTCAGACATTAGCACTCCAAATGCTTTGATGGTAATTCAGAGCGATTCCAAAAAGAAGCCGGTTGTAGTTTCTGAGAGGAGCAGCTTAAAATATACTGATTCATTTTGACAGCACTAATGAGTGTGTGGACACCAGCTACTCAAAGGAAACCTTCACAGAACTGTGGAGAAACTAGCTGCCTTCAGACCAGCAGGGCCACCATCTGCCCACGATCAAACTGAAAAAAATACCATCTTAATGGAAATCACAGGCACAGTTCTGGCTGCAGATTCTATACTCAGAAGAAAACAAAACCACAGCACATATTAGAGTTTGTATCCTGATAATTCATCCAGAGCTCACCTTTCTCTTTCCCCTCTCTGCATCAAACTTACCTGAACACAGCAAAGTGAAGATGATCAGGACAATTATAAGAACTGCCTTCATGATTACAGTTGTTCAGCAAGGATCCACTCTCTACTCTGACGCTCTGCATTCTCATACCAGGAATTCCACAGTGATGACCAAACTCTCTGGAAGATAGAAAAGAGGATTTGGGCATCAACAAAGAAAATGAGATTTTCAATAAATAAACATAAGCTCTGTCAGATACTGCATCTTCGCACATAGAAAAGAAAGGAACAGTGACCTATTTAGTGCCCACAGCTGGAAAACATCAGTGCATTTTTATCAGTGCATGAACTCACATACAAAGAAATGAAAACCTCTGTTTTTGAAGTAGGTTTTTTTTCCTTTCTTCCTTTTTTTTTCTTTTGGCATGGTAAGAGAGTTTATTTACTGCATGATGTTAAACAAAAAGTAACCCTATGCCCACCTAAGAATTTAGAACAGAATCCTGACTTTGTCAGCTTTCCTGATTCTTTTCATTCCATTCTAGCACAGCAGTCTCATTCCAAACTGGTTTGTTTCCCTGTTCCCTAACATTTAGCCTAGAGAAGTATTGCCTCTTAATTACTCTAAAGCAGCTATGACTCACGTCATTAGCTTGCTCCCTCTCTCTATATAAAGAGAGGAGCTAATATGTATGTGTATATATTTAAGCATAACTGTATAAATGGAACTGATGCAAAAAAAAAAAAAAACAACCAAACAACACATAAATATATATGTATTGCTAATACACACTGATCTTTTCAGGAGAGACTTCATCACTCCGAGTCCTCGAGAAAGTATTATTCCCAGTTTTGTTTTCCTCCTAACACTTCCTCTGCTTTGTGCACTTTGACAACACTTCTCCCACATTTCTGTTCCTGTGCTATATACCTTATCCGAGCAATTCACAGACCTTATTCCCCATTTCCTTCTTTTTGTTTGTGCACACAGACTCCACTTCTCACCTTTGTGTTTCCTAGGTTTCTTCACAAAATCTGCAGCATTTATTGATATATTATCTCATTTCCCATTAGTCTGAGCACAGAAGGAGTTCACCTCTCTCACTCATTCCTATGCTTCCTGGACATTCTCAAGTCCAAAGTCCTACATTCTCTCATTTAATAAGAGAACTATAGATATCCCCATCCATTTCAGAGGAGTTGGATTAGAAGACCTGTAAGACCCCCCTTCCAATACAAATGATTCTATGAATCATGGCATTATCCCACCCCTTGACTTGGCTCACCCACATAGTTCTAGCTCAGCTCAGAACACTTTGGGAATTGTGCCCCATTCCCCACTGAGTGCATGCAATCTCTTAGCACAACACATTGCAACATAAGAAAAAAATAATCACATTACAACAGATTAGAATAAACTAATTCTTTTGAAATAGTTCTAAGACAATAGGTAAATATATACTTCCAATGGCAGGAAAAAAAAAACTTACACCAGGCCAGATCACTAACCAGTTAAGTCCACACCAATTAAAACATGCTATAAACAAGTGTGCTTTATTTACAGCTTAACCTTGAGTCACTCCTGACTCAGATGTGGGGCAGCCTGTGGGTCAGGCCCTGCTGCAGTGCGCAGTCAGACATCAAAGCCGCAGCCTTTGCCGTGCTGGGGGCAGCGCACCTGGCGCCATCAAATCCCACCTCTGCAGCTGTGCTTCCTGCTGGCCCTACCTCACGTTAACTGAGGAAAATGTGCATCCTGACAGCTGAGTCAGCTCATGTTATTACGTCATGTGAGAGCTACAGCTGGATCTCTGCTATTCCATGTTATTAACAGACTTTCCTACTTATGCCTAAGGTAGAAGACGCTTAATCAGCTACTTACAGATACTGCTGCTACGATGTGAAAATAGCAACATTCTGCAGACTCCACGGAGTCCTGGCTGGGAAAACGGACAGCCAAGCATTAATCACAAACACAGCAGGTCATGAGAGCACCTCGGCCTGGAGCAGAGGTGAGGACACTTGAGGAATGCTTTCATAGTGATTCACCTCTGAAACCTCCCCAGCACTCAGGAAACAGCAATTAGCCGCTGGCTGCTAACGCGGTAGCCCTGCATCCAACTGCGGACACACGTAGGAGGGTGGAACCCACCTTATCTCCACCTCATCTTTACAAAAGCCCCCCTGTGGTGTTACCACACAGGGGCAGCCAACGCCACGCGGTCCAAACTCAACGTCTCACACAAGGTGAGCAGCGCTGCCCCTCCTCAGTAAACTGCTCTCCTAACACTCGCAACGCTCCCACACCACGTTCCAACACTCGCTCACCCCACAGCACCCCTTACAGCCCGCCAGGAACAGCCTCAGCCCACAACTCACCCGCCCCGCCCCCTCCGGCCCCGCCCCGTCCCTCAGCCCGCCCTCGCTCTCGGCACGCAGCGCAGCTCGCGGCGCCGCAGCAGCAGCAGCAGCAAGATGGCGGCGGCCGTGGCGCGAGGTGGCGGTGCTGCAGTGCGGCGGAGCAGGTACGGGCAGGGCGGGACGGCGCTGCGCTGCTCCGTGCTGATGGGCCGGGGCCGGAGTCAGAGCCAGAGACGGAGCTGAGGGCGGAGTGGCAGCCGCTGACAGCCGTTAGGGGTGAACCCTGAGCCGGGGTCGGCCGCTTCCCGGCGCCGGGCGCGTTGCTTATTGCCTTGCTGTGTAAAACGTGCAGCAGTGCGGGGCTTTTGACCTGGTGAGGACCCGGTTGTGGGAAACCGTGCTTTGGGGAAGGCCTGTCCTGCTGCGTTTGGGTCAGCACTGTGGTTCTACGCTCTACCTGTCAGCTTCTTAATACTCGTGATGCTGTTTTACGAGGATAAGTGAAAACTGTAGCTAATTATCTTTAACTAGCAGTAAAACATTGCTTGTGAGTGCCTGCTGCTATCGCTGTGTGGTTTCTGGACGAGAAACCTGTTCATAGACTCCTTATTTTCTAAATAAAGAGTCTACTTGAAACTTGTGAGATAGCTGAAATTCATTCTTAAAAATATGAAAGAATGCTAATCGCTTCCTGGAACTGAATCACCCGAATGATGCAGAAAGCCGTAAGTTAATGAAGTAATTCTGCTCTTAGCTTGCATCTGATGGGAGCAGGTGAAAGGTCACAGTGCCAAATGAAGACGTCCCAGCTGTCATGTTTGCATCCTGGGAACAAGACCTGGCACTCGTTACTTTCCCAGCAGTTGGCCTAAGAAATGGCAGAACTTGTTTGCAGATCCCATAACTTTCCTATGTTTGCCATCTTCCCGTCAGCGTGCTGAGAAAGGCAGATTTGAGAACTTGGTTTGTGGGTGTATCTTAAAAGAGTTGTGGCTCTTAAATGGCACCTGCATGTGTGGCAGCGTCCTGGAGGTGGAATAATGCCAGGTCATTTTGTAATGATCTCATTACAAAGCTTTACCACGTTTATAAGCAGAGTTTGTTTTGATCAGCATGGCTGGATGCCACTTTGTAATAAGCACTACCTTTGGGTGGATGTAAATACATATTAGCCGTGTTGTTGCAGAAGATAACGTCGATATTTATGCTGCTTACCATTCCTCCAAATTATAGGAATTTTGCTTTAGACCTTCTTATAATTTCCCCAGTAAAATACAAGTTGTTTATTGGTCTTGGAGTAGTTGTTTATGTGCTGTTGGATCAAATCCAACATATTAAACTGGAAACTGATCTAGAGAAGAGTAACTCACTGGCTTTAGTCACTTCTTTGAAAAATAACAGATTGTTGGTCTTGTAGACCAGGGTAGTGCATAAAATCAAAGATTACATTGGATACCACTGACTTGCTCTTTTAAAGGCTCAGGTTGTATTCACAGTAACCAATATATTACAACTCCAAACAGCCTGGGATAGGGTACGTGACATTAGCAAGCACTATACTCAGAAGAGCATAATTATTATCATAAAGTTTAAAAGGAACATATAGTCACGTTTTGATAAGAAAATAGAAATACATGGGGGTAAGAAAAGCGAATTAGACACATCTAAACAGTGAGGTATCTGCAGGAGCAGTTGGATTTTTTGTTTTATTGGAAGAGGGGGAGGTAGGCCTGAAGAAAATGGATTTTAATGCTTTACTTTATGAATCTCAGTACTTTGAGGGGAATTTTCCCCTCTGTGTTGTTCAGCCTCTGAATGTTCTGTTTACATTTGCGCTGTAAAACGTTTGTACTTGAGCCACTGTCTGTTATATGTTACATTTACAGTTTCCTGACTGGCTGCAACTTCCTCATATGTGAGAACCCGTGCATTAGAACTGCAGTCCTGTGGAAGCAGCCGCCCTCCAGGACGTTTTTCAGTGGTAAGTGTATCTTGTATGTAATCCGATGTTTATAAATTCAGGATTACTCAAAATTAGTCAAATTGTGATTGAATAGTGGTGAATATAAAGTTCTTGATATTGAAGCAAGTGAACTCGGAGTCCAGATTCAGAGACCTGCTCAATTTATGGAATTTCTGTAGACATCAGCTTGCAAATAGTGATTTTAAACTTCTGGTGTTTTGCTGGCAGTAAAATAAACATATTTATCTATTTCATAAGATTGTTTTATTAGATTATTCATTGTTTTTCCTTTTTTTTTTTTGAATGCTTAGATAGCAAACTTAAAAGCAAACAATTTATATATATACATATATATAGTTATAATATTTATACTTACATATATGTAGTTACAATATTTAGACAAATAATCCCTAGCCGTGGTTGAAAGCTACTTCTTCCTTCTACAAGTGCCATCTATTCCACAGTGATTTTATGGATATGAAGAGCCTTGCAGAGAAGCAAATCTAGGCAGCAGTTTAGATGCTGTAATATCCAGAGCAGTGCTTGGCTAAAACTGGAATTTGGATCATTGTCTCAAATTAGGAATACCTGTGTTAGAGCATGGCAGAATACAAATACATGCTTGTTTTTGTTTTTTTTTTCCCCGCTTGATATTTATTCACCCTTTTACTTCATCATTCTCGTGTGTTTTTTATCAGAAAAACTGGCTTCCTTTGTCGTTGTGACATCTGCTGCCCTGTGGTCCCTTTTAATACGTCTCATTTGAGGGTTGTTTTTTTTTTTTTAAGCTTCTTTGGTGCTTTAACACTCCTCCTGTACACTGCAATTATCACTTCTGAAGAACCTGTCTGACAGGGCCAGCAGAAGAAGAGCCAAGATGATCAAGTGAATGGTGGCTACATTCCTAATTTCTCCCTTGTATTTTTTCATAAGGGAAATTTATACTGGGATATTTTTCCAGATCTGTTTTATTCCAAATGAGGGAATTCACATTTCCTTATACTCCCTTGCCTCAATGACTGGAGAATATTTTGTAAACCACATGTAATCAGACTGTGATCAGAGTGCTTGGAGTGATGCTAGAGGAAGCAGCGCTGTGTGGAAGGACATATATGATGGAATGTATTCGTTTCTAAATTGTTTCTAGACTTCAACAGTTTTTGCAGTGATGATGATCTCTGTAGCAGAATAAAGGCAATTTACCACAGGTTCCTTTTCTGTGATTACCTTTCTCAGATTGTGTAGCTTTCTGAGGGCTCTCCAGATGAAAAATTACTTTTCTAGAGGCAATACAATTTAGCAGAGTTTCATTTTAGTACAGTGTTTTAAATATACTTTCTAAAAAAACTTTAGAAGTAGAAACAACTTTAATGAAACGACTGTATTGAGCCAATATTTCATGTTCTTTGCATACCTATGTTGTGTCAGTCTCTTTCTCTTATAAACGTTTTAGCATACTTTAATTGCTTACCATGCCCTGCAACATCTCATGCTCTCAGCATCTCTAGCACACTGTGCAGCCAGGTGCCAGCCAGGAAAACTGAGCCTGTATTTTGCAGGTGGGTGTCACAAAGGGGAGATGTGAAGGCATCATGGATGTTGGCTGAGAGGTCTTTGTAACAGCAGAGTCATGAAGTGAGCCTGATGACAAAAATGATATCTGTTATTAACATGAAATTCAGAGGAATCATGTTAGACTGCGTAATGATTGACTTAAAAGGAGGCGTCAAGCTTAATCTCTAATGGATAGTAGGAAGGAAACAGGACATACCAGGTGGGAATTTGTTGGAAGCTGTTCAGCTGTGTTATCTGCTTTGGAGTGTAACTGTCATGCACTTGGGGACAGCTGAGAAGGTCAGAATCCAGCAGTTTAGCAGGCCTGTAAGAAAGAAGGTCTAAATATAGTTTTAAATTCCTATCTGTACTTGTAATTTTAATAAATTGTGAAATTGAGGTAGGATTATGTGAAATATTTAAGGCCTGCTAAAACGATGCTTGTGCTCTAGCTGGATAGGGCTGTGAAGAGCCAATATTGTTTGTTGTTTTTTTCTTTACCAAGTATTTGTAAGCTTGTAGTCCATGTGTTGACCTGTTGCTAAAACAATTCCGTGGCCTTACAGGTATTTTTTCCTTATCAACTGAGGTGGCAATTGGTCCCATTTTGTAACAGCACTTATCTGGGTTAATTTCCTTGTCCAAATCCTTTGTCTCTTGTCATGTATGAATAGTTTCTTATTGAAATACATGCTTTTATCCATTCCAGAGAAGGGAACTTACTTTTTCTATTATGGTTTGCTGAAAGTAGTTGATGATGAAGAGAAATCTCAGGTTAGCTTTACCTCGAAGGAGTTCAGGCTTAGGATTAATCCAGAGCATGGAAACGTGCATTTAAAGTCCCCTGTCCTGGACTTGTTTCTGCTGGTTCATCTTCTGGAACAGGAGCTTTCCTCTTGCTCCTGCTGCTCACCAGATAGCTGTGCCAGTGTTTGTACCATTGGAGAACGTGATGTTCAGCTGAAACCTCTGAACAGCATCAGCTGCCTGACCGTGGTGTTGTTGCCAGAGTCAGAAAATGAACTTTGGTTTTGGAATCTGTAAACTTGTGTGAATTTCATTTATGGCTGAAAGATGTGGAATTGTATTTTTGATTGTTTTGTCAGCAAATGAACTCTAGCACAGGAAGAAAAATGTTTGCAGAGGTCTGTCAGTAGTTCTTGTGCTGGAAACAGTCTCTGGATAAAACCTGTACAGAAACCAGAAAAAGCCGTTCCCACTGAGGGCTTTCTGGTATTTACTGGCTCTGGTGAAGTAACTGAGCAGCTTTGTCAACTTAGAACCAAAGATGTGGTGGGAAGGCAGTTAAAGGCTTTAGGGCTAACAAGTGCTGTTGGTCTCCACAGACATTTCTGTTGAAATAGTGATGCAGCTGTCTAGGCAGACCAAAGTTGAAAGGTTATAGGGTCTTTGTAGACTTGAAGTAAGTAAAATCCTTTTTCATAAACATTTCACTGCTCTAAATGATCTCTGGCCTTTGGAGCATTTTCTTTAGGACAGGATCATTGAATTATACCATAGAATCACAGAATGGCCTGGGTTGAGAAGGACCACAGTGATCATTTAGTTTCAACTCCCTGCTGTGTGCGGGTCGCCAACCAGCAGCCCAGGCTGCCCAGAGCCACATCCAGCCTGGCCTTGAATGCCTGCAGGGATGGGGCATCCACAGCCTCCTTGGGCAACCTGTGCCAGTGCCTCACCACCCTCTGTGTGAAAAACTTCCTCCTCATATCCAACCTAAACCTCCCCTGTCTCAGTTTAAAACCATCCCCCCTTGTTCCTATCCGCCCTCATAAACAGCCGTTTCCCCTCCTAGAATATTTTCTGGAATCTAACTTGAACTACAGTTGCTGCCTTGTTTTGTTTTGTATTTTTTTCCTCCAAAAGACAAGGTTTCTTCACTAAGAATAAAGCCATTTTCACATTATAATGTATTTTCAGGCATGTAAATCAAAATCTTTAAATGACATATTTTTGTTCATTTCTTTCCTATATATTTTGACAAAATATGAGCAGGAGCTGCTTATATGGGGCATCTTTCTGTATTTTGTGTGGAGAGCAGCTGAATGTCCCTAATCACTGCCACCTGGAATTCAAGCTCCCCAAGTTGCAGAGCAATTATGCTTTGTGTCTATGCATGCCTAGAAATAGAGCTGGTATTTACTGAAATTTTTTAGTTGTCCATTTGTCCTTTCCTAGTCAAGCCCTACCCCTAACGTTGATGGAACGAGATAGGGCCTATTGTTTTTGCTTCCTGCTCACCCAAGTCAATGATTGTTGTGGAAATCACACCACTCGCTGTCCGGGAATGAATTCCTTTGGGCAGCTTTTCTCAGTCTGGCAGTGACATCAGACTGTAATACAAGCAGGGCAGCTTGGTTGATTCAGCCTGAACAGCTCTGAAGAGTTTGGAAGAGAAATCTTACCCCTTAGAAGCTGCCCAGTAGTGTGTCACATGCAGCATGTGAGGCTCGTGTTAGGCAAGAGGAGCTTGATAATTTTCAGTAAGGAACAGATGTAATACTGGATGACGTTTTTTTCTTCTGTAGCATGGGCATGAGCCTTCTGACTGAGCGAGGAGGAGTAGTCTTGAGCCACATACACAAGATGTAATATAGTTAAAGTACACGAGTAACAAGACTTATTTTTTATAGAAATGTTAATTAAAAAAAAAGCAACAAAACCACAAAACCAGTGGGATGTTTGACCTTGGTTTTGTGAATCTGACAGCTAGCAGGCTGGTTCAGTGGCAGTGGCTGCCACTCGCAGTGAGCTCTCGAGGTGTTTGTCAGGTTTCTGATGAAATTTTACTCTTCATGTACTTCATCCTTGAAAACAGTTGTTGGTACGTCCTGCCAAATGATGACATTGTTGAAGGCTAATTCAAACAAACTGAGCTTCCATTATATTGTGTATCAGAAGAACAAATACTTTTTCCAATGACAATGCTTGACCAGAGACTTATTCTCCGTTTAGTTTATCAAAAGAAAGAGCAAGACTGCCTTCTTTTTTTGCTGTTCACAGGACTGTGTTTAGCCCATGTATCAGAATGCATAAAACTGTTTCCCATAATTTGAGTTAATGCTGCAGTGAGCCCTCATGTGTTCTGGCTTCAGCTCAGGCAGTGGTAAGAGCACACTGAGGGTTTGGTTGTTGCTGAGAGCTGGATGTGGGACGTGCCTGCTCTGTAGTGACCTGCATTACAGCAGAAATGTGCCTATTATTGAACCTATGCTAACCCAGGTTGTCACATCCTTCCCTCTTCCATTGAGGGCATTCCCAAATAGATATCTAACTGTAATGAAGGTTCTGATGATTGAGAAGCATGAAGCTCTGCATGTACACATTGTTCCTCTGTGACTGAGTTTTCCATGCTGTAATGACATAGAAATCGAGAGGTGAATTTATGTGCACTGTGAAGCCCATCCCCATGGTGCTGTCAAGCAGCTCATTTTACATACTTCCTGGGAAGGATTTTGGGGGAACACAGATGAGCAGTCAGTGCTGATCAGCTGAGTTTCAGTAACTTGGTAAGCTGCAATATCTGGAGCACACAGGAGCATATATTAATACCTTCTGTATCCTGCATTTCTGATGGTGTTTATATCATCTATGCTGACATCCCTCACTGTGCATATTGGCTGTGTTTGTTTTAACTTTATAGCTGCTCTCTGAAAGTCTGCTTTTCTCTGTTACAGACAGGAGGAAGCTTCACACTGCTCCAGTAGGACAAGCCTTCCGCCTGCGCCCCTTCCATGTTCTGGTGGCTACAGGTGGGGGATATGCAGGATACAAAAAGTATGAGGGCTACAAGTTGGAACAGCTGGAGAAGAAGGGCATAGAGTTGCCTGTGAAGCTCGCAAGTGAATGGGAGGTAAGCAACTTGTGGCAATTTTGCTTCTGCTGTGTTTGAGGCAAAGCCCCTTCGCTTTCTTTCCAGCGAGGGAATGTGCAGTTCATTCTCTGTAGCTGATGCATTTTTGACAAATTGTTTTTGTCTTTTAAGTGACTTGCACTCGAGAGAGAACATAAGGTGTGCATCTGCAGCAGCTCTGAAGGATCTGTTGGCTCTGTTTAGTGCAGTGCAATTTCTTACTTTCCCCACCTTATATTGCATGGTGACAAATAAAGCGCATAATATACAGAATTAAATACAGAAATCAAACTAGGCAAGACTGAAATTGACTTGTCTTAGGATTAAAAAAACATTTGGTGCTGAGTTGGTCCCAGTCCTTGCTGAAGGTACAGCACGTGCAGCATCTGTAGGGTTTTTATTTCTCACTAGCAGTTCAGTAGCCAGTGAGGCTCAGGCTGCTTCTGGCATTTTTCTTGCTTCCCAGTGCCTTCCTGCCTTATCTACTTTACAAGGATGCTAAGACAGAATTAACATATAGTCATTATAAATCTATGGTTTCTTTATACATTACATAAACTTATGTATGCATTACATATACATCTTAGAAAGCACCTACATCTATAATGGAACTTGCTGACCCTGAGGCTTTTTTGCCTTTTTTTCTGGATTCCAAGGAGATTAGAAACTGTTGTGAAACAGCAGTAGGTATATCAGATTTGTGGATCAAATTCCTGCTGCAGCATTAAACAACTATTCCTTAACTGGACGTAACTGCTGTATTTCCTTCAAACTCTTAAGGATATACAGTAGAGCTCAGTGGAGTTCAAAGTGTATGTGGTATTCTTCCAAACAGCCAGGTAAGTGCTTCAGTACTGTTTCAGGAGGCAAGGAGTTAAAAATTCTAGGAGTGTAAGATTGTGTAGGAGATGCTTCAGTGTGACCTTTAGCATCTCTTCTCTTTGCATTCCTGAGCGCACTGCCAGTCTGTGAGTGCTTTTGGCCACGTGCCTTCAGGGAGCAAGGCTGGAATGCTTAAATTCGTTTTCACTGGTGATCCAAATGAGCTATGACCCAGGAAGGCTGGATGCTGGCAGCTTAGGCTATGATAGCACCTGAGGAATTTGTCTGTAAATCTGTCTTCTGTATATTCTTTTCCTACTAAAAGTTTATTCCAAAGAGATTTTATCTTTTGATTAAAAGAGAGACTGGTAAGCATCTATGAAGTATTTATTTTAAAAGGCACCATCAATTCAGTTTTGGTTCTTGGAAACAAATGCTGTTTTAATAATGTTCATATTTCTAGGTATGTAAATGAGTAATTCCCTTATTAAATTTGCTTTCTTTCATTATACTAGTATGCTGAGTGTTATTGCTGGTGGTTATTTGGTGAAGTTACAGATATTGCTTTTGGTGAAAAAGCTCTAAAGAAATCACACTGAGAAGTTGTCCTGGTCCTTCCTGATACACTTGAGTTCTGTTGGATGCTTCTGTGGGAGGGAAAGGAAGCTTGAGAAAAGAGGAAACAGAGAAACTGTGTTCAAACATTGAAAGAAATATTCTAAACAATGAAGAATTCAAGAAAAATAAGAGCTGCATTGTTGCCTTTTTATTAGAAAGTGGAGGGTCTTTTTTAGCTGAGCTCTCACTTTCCATTATTCTCTCTCTGGTTTTGCATCCCTGGAAGCACACTTAGGATTGACGAAAAGAGGGGTGTTGTTTTCAGAACAAGACTGTAAGCCTTTGCATAGGTAAGAAGAGCCTCAGTGCGATTTAATGGGCTTTGAAAGCGATACAGAGAAGCTGCTGCACGTGGCCTCAGTGCTGAGCCTGCTGCTGCAACACCCGGCTCCGATGTACCAGCATCGTGCTCATGTGCACACACACCATCATCCACCTGGCACCCAGTGTGCAAGGCAGGTTCCTTTTCTTCTGAGCAAAGTCAGAAATGCAATATGACCATGTTATGGAAGCAGAGGATCTCCATGTTGCAGAGGTGCATATTGGGTATCACTGTTGTTTCTTTAGCACACCTGTCATTTTCTTAGAGACATCACGTTGCTAATAGCTTGATGTGAATAACACCTTAGTGTGTCTCATAGTGTGAATACCAGCGAAGAACAGCTCTCATTTATTTAGGTGAGGTAAAGCAGGGAGCTTGGAGGAAGACAGTTAGATACATCCATCAGATAGATGGAAGCTTATAGCTTCAAGTCCTTGTTGTCACCAAGTATTTCTTGGCCAGGATCTCCATGCATAGCTTGCCATGCATAAGGCATCGTGTAGCTTCTCACCAAGCTGCTGTAGGATGGCTGAATTACTCAGTGAGACCTGGGCTAAAGAGTGATCAGGGTGACTGGAACTTCTTTCTGCTAGGAGGAATTTCTTGTACCTGTCCTGGGCTTCTATAGTTTATTCTGATGTAATGAAGTTTTGTGTAAGGATCTCCTGTTGGAATGACAGCACCTGCAAAAACAGCAAGCCCACAGGGGAACTGAGCTGTGGTGACGCTTCAGATGTCACTAACAGTCTTTTAGAATGGCTTAATGCAGTGGGGAAGTGCTTGAGTACGGATTTAAAGTCTTGATCCTTAAAGGGAGGAAGAACACAGCCTTCCTATTAATATTAGAAACTGTGCCAGGGGGTGTTTGTGTAACAGGAGATACACGGTGATATTTTGGCAGTCTGATACAGAAAGTGCTTTCCTTGGCTCATAGCTGAGAGATGTGTTACGGTAAGAGGTGTGTAACAAGTTCAGGAAAGAACTAACGGGGAAAAACATATATATTTTTTTTTATCCAACCTGCTTTGCTTTGGAAGAAGCACAGCCTATGGCTGCTGATCTCTCATTCTTCATTCGCGTTGCTGGGTTCCGACCAGCGCACAGCTCCCGGGCTGCGATGCCGGACGGCTTCACGCTGCGGCGCGCTTCCCTGCACCTGGAGCCCCGCGGCGGCGATGAACCCCGCCGTCCCCACGCGTCCCCCATCGCGGAGGCGGTGCCGTGGCCGCGTTCCGGTCCTCCCCACCCCCCCCCCCCCTCCCGGCTCCTCCCCGCAGGGCAGGGCAGCCCCGGGCCGCTTCCTTAAGGCGCGGAGCTGCGTCCCGTGCCCGCACGGAGCCGGGCGACAGCCGTGAGTAAATCGCCGTGCTGCGCCGCGGGTATCAGGTAGGGCTGCGGTCCGGCTTTGGGCTCCGTCCTTCTGGAAGCTTCACCGGCGGCGGTGCGAGGACCCGGCTCGCTCGGGGCTTACCTCGGGTGGGTTCGGGCGGAACTGCGGGGGGCGGCGCGGGGATGGGCGTTATTGGGTGGGTCCGGCTGCTTTGGTTGCCGCGAGTTGACGCGTCGCTTTGCGAAAGTAAACGCAACTTGTCCTGTTTCGGAGGAGAGAGTTTTGAGACCGTGGAACATCTGGGGGTGGGACGGAAGGGAGGGGTTCTACAAGCTTACATTTAAAAATCAAATGAAACCCCCGTGCCTCTGCGGCTGGCTTAAAACACCGCTTCTCCCCGCGAACAAAACTAATCAACAAGCACAACCGAGAGGAAGGTCTCGGGGTGAAAGAGCTCGAGGAGCCGCAGCCGGGCACAGCAGCCCCGCAGCCCCGGGGCCGCCCGGCCCTTCCCGGCAGCCACGTGCCGCCGCTGCTGCCGGTTCGTAGCGCTGGGAGGAGCTCCGCGATGAAACGTTTGGATGCGGACGGTGCGTTTTTTAAACGGGAGTTCTGCTACCAAATGTAGAAAGTGAGAGCGGAGGCCGCGAGCCTTCCGGGGAGCGCGTTCCAAGGCCAGTGATTCATGGGTCCAAACGTGGGTCTGAAGGACGGTTACACGTCGGTAAGGCTCCAGGCAGCAGTGAAAGGACGTTTCTGTGGGGCCACTGGATGGGAGGCTCGTTTGAGCTGATAGAAGCCGGCAGTTTGCTGTTGTCCAAGAAGCAGATTCGTCCCCGTGTGCGTTGAGTCGATCATCATCGCACACTTGGGGCACGTGTTGCTTATTTATGGCAGGGTTGCACAAGCCTGGTGCACAGTGCTTTTCACAGATGGCTCACACAGACAGAGCCATCCTAATGCTCGGCACTTACACAGAATTACAGTTAGCAGCGTTCCACTCCAGTTGGTCTGTAGTTTTCATGCAATTGCAACGGTGCTGATGCTGCTTCCATTGCTATGCCTGATCACGGGAGGGGTCTTCACCCAGGCAGGGCTCTTCTTGACCTGTGGGTGTGAATCTTAGCGTTACATTGAAAGTAGTTCAGCCAAGGATGCACAAACCTGGGGTTTTCTTCTCAAGTTGTGTCACCAGCTGTCCTCATTAATGTCCACTCCAAGGCCTTGTGGCTCTGGGAAGTCCCTGGTTAAGTATTTATTCTACTGATACCTAATACAATGGTAGCTCAGTTTGTTTAGAATTAGCCTTCAGCACTGTTAGATTTAGATTAGACCCTTCTCTAGGGATTTTTACTGTATCAGGACTACTTCTTTTATTTACTTAAATTGGATTCTGGGTGGGATCAGACAAGTGGCAGGGTTTGGTACAGATCTCCACACTCCAGCAAATCAACAGCTGTAAGGTTCTTGTCTGAGCTAACAGCGTGGGGCTGGTGGCACTGCCTGGATCCCAAAAACAACAGCCATTTGGAAATTTCCTCGGTGGGTTCCTCCACCAGCTCTTGTTCCTTTCCCTGTGGAATCATACAATGGTTTGGGTTGAAAGGGACCTTACAAATAGTCTCGTTCCAACTCCCTTGCTGTGGGCAAGGACACCTCCCACTAGAGCAGGTTGCTCAAACAACAGAGGGAAACCCAGAGTGGATTTTCGGTTTCAGCTGTGAATTGGTTGTGGGGCAGCTGGAGGAATGGCAGCTTGCCATGTCTGACAGCACTTAAGCAGACTCAGGTATTTGCATCTTGGTGAATGTAGTGAGGTCGGTAGAACAGAACTTAAGAGAAACATAGGTTGTTACGCTCATCTGAGCTGATTTTTTTGAGTTAGTGGAGGAAAAAGCCTCCTAATGGCAATAATTGGCCATTCCTGGAGAGGAATCTCAGACCACGCTGTAAAACAATTAAACTGAAGGGTGGTGTTCCCCATTGCGTTGGGCAGCAGAACATTTTAGCATCCGTTCATTTTCAGGGAGCAGATGAGCTTGCTCCTCTGCAGGGTCAGGCTTGCACAGTCTGGAATACAATTCCTTGAAAACGTGTGGGGTATGAAACTGAGCTGCTGTTGAGAGAGCTCATGGCTGGAGCTCCCTAATCCCTGAGGAGCTTCGTGTAGGTAGAGAGGCTGCTGAGAAGTGGGGGTAGGGTGCCAGCCCAACTTGGGCAGCGATGAATGCGATTGCTGCAAGTAAACTGCTTGACAGGGTTATGGAGAGTGGTTTTCATTTACTCTGAAGTGCCTTTGGAAACGGTGTTGTCAATTTTTCTATTTAAAATCCTTTTTTTTTTAATGTTGGCAACTTCCAGCATTCCTGGCAAGTGAGCAGAAACAGCCCTCCTGTACTCCTTGTTCCTTTTCTTTGAATTTTGGTAGGATTTGGGGTACTTTTTTTTTTCTTTTCAGTGCAGTTGTCAACATTCAGCTCGCACAACAATAAGCACAGGGTTTGGAACTTCCTGTGACACAGGATATCATGTCACCATTTTCTTCTTGAAAAAAAATTATCATCATGCAGGCACTCCAGGGGTGTTTCTAGGGAATATCTGAAATATTTGGAGTCGAGGGCCAATAATAACACATGATTCTTTTTGGAATATTTTCCTTTCGAGGCCTGAGCAGGAAGTCTTTAGCTAGTTCTACATTTTCATGCTGACCCTCCCACTTCTCCTGGCTTATCTCTAATGAAACGCAGCCCTTTCTCTTACCTCAGCACCAGTGCTCTTTTTATCTAATCTGCAAGACACACAGCTTATGGAGATGTATATTTAACCCAGACTATCACAGAAAAAGAGAAATGCATAACCACTGTAGTGTTAGTGCCTAAACTATTCTGGGTACTTGGTTTAATTCTGAGGTGAGATGTACCTAGCGTGCTTCCCCTTTCAGTTTCAATCTGCCTTAACAGCCCAAATTCAGACAACATGGGAGGCAGGAAATCTGGGTTTGAGATGTGGTCTGCAGGGCCAGAGAGGGAAATTTCTCTCTATATTTGCTTATAATTCAGAGATAGAAATTGCAGCCTTTTGTCACTAAAATAAACAAAAAAGCATTACCAACAGTCAGCCAAGAAAAAAACAACTTCCTTTACTCATGTTTTGCATTTCAGTTCTGCTAGATATAAACTTGTGGCAGTGTTGAGAGCCACATAAAAGATACATTAACACCTTTATAATTCATTCACAAGCTGGCCCTAAAGCTGGCTTATTTCACTAAGCATTTGGGCATTTGTAGAAGAGAGTCCTTTACCTGCTGCCTGGGTGTCTTCTGAGATGGAAAGAGATTCCAGGGGCTGGATGTTGACATCTGGCAAGAGTTTGTGAAAGGGAAAGGTCTGCCTTTCCTCTCCTTCTCAAGATGGTCTGTGGGAGCAGGGAGGGATTTTTGGTGCCAGGTAGTCCAGAACTGCGTTAGCTGCAGCTGCTGCACTGCAGAAGTGAAGCTGGGAATTATCTCCTCCTCTTCTCCGCCCCACTCCTCCTCCCGGCCTCATATTCAGGCCTCCGCTGAGGTTAGCGGCACAAGGCTGGTGGGCTGCTCTGACGGAGCCTCGGCGCCCAGCAGCCTGGGACTGCAGCGTGTTCCTTGGAGAACTCAGCTTCCATGGCGGCCAGGACGAGAGAGAAGCAAGGACTGCTTCTATGGAGAGCTCATTTTTATCTTGTGCAGAGTCATCTTTGTAGCGGGATGTTGAAATGTGACACAGTGCCTGTTTGTTTGCAATAGCTGCAACCCTCGTAGCAGAAATTCAAGTGGGAAACAGAGGGGGAATCCAGAGGCAAATCAGCGGGAGAATTAGAAACCGTGACGTCGCGTCCTCCCTCCTGTGCCGGAGCAAGCAAAGAAAGGAGAGGTAGAGGAAAAAAGACTGAGCCTTGCATCCAGCCGTCACCCTGACAATGTGTCAGTCAAACGCCCTGCAGGGACCAGATCTGCACACAGGGAAATGGTGAGATGCTGTAAAGCTTTATCTAACCCTCCACCCTCTTGCTACAACCTCCACAAAGTTAAAATTCATGTCCGGAGGCTGCGTTCAGGGAACGGCGGCAGCAGCAGCTGTGCCGGGGACCCGCACCCACAACTGGACTGCCCGGGCCCGGCTGGCTCTGCTGGCGGGACACCAAATAGGAGAGCTCGTTTCAGGTACTGTGTGGTGTTTTCTGCTTTGCAAGAATGGTGTCTTGAAGGGAGAAACGAGGGAGGGAGGGTGGGAGGGTTTCTGGGCTGGAGGAGCGACAGCCATCTGCAAAGCTTTTGTTTGGCCTAATTACTATAAAGCTCCTTATGCGATGAATTGTCAGAGAAGGGCATGCTGTTATATGACAAGGGGAACGAAGAGGGTTTCTTTCTTTTCTCCCATTCTCCATCATGAGGAGAATAGGAAGATTAGCCAGGGACTGCACTGAAACCAGGCCAAGCAGCGGGGAGCCCCAGGGCTCCGGAGTGCGCTGCCAGGATGCAGCTCGGATGGGATTGGTCCGCCAGCAACTGCAGTGGCGGGGGGAGCGTGGCAAGGGAGCGGGACCCTGGGGAGCAGGACCCTGGCATGATGCTGAGAGCCTGGTGCCAATCCTACTGGCCTCGTGCAGACTGCAAGCTGGCAGGTGATGAGTGGGAGGAAGGACATGGAGTGCCCCTTCCTATTCCCATGTTGAGTCAGTCCCACCTCCCACTGAGAAAGCAGCTTTACGCCTGCTGAGACAGCACTTCATCTCCTTAGGTGTTGGCTGCTATCTTGTTTTCCTTGCTTTGTGATGCACAAATAATTCTCTGAGTTTTTACGTGTTTATTTTTTTGGAGGAAAGTTGTATTTACTGCAGAGAGGATCAGTGAGCCAAAAGCACCATCTTGCATCCCAAAGTGGTGACAGATGTCACCTGCCTATGTGGTATTTTAATCCTGACCCACATTTTGAAAATAACAGGTTGGCAGGAAAATTTCCTTTCAAGATTCCCAGCTTCTTTCCACCCTGAAAAGAAGTAGTTCATACTTCATATTGTATAGTCTGGTGTAAAGGAGAGCTGTTCAGAGCAGCCAGAGCGTACCCTTCCAGTCCATGCACACACAGCTGCATCCTGGTTGCAGGCATTCGGACTGCAGCAGAGTGGGAAGTACACCCCTGGCTGGGGTTTAAGGCAATGCCCAGAAGACTTGAATATTTTGGCCCAAGTAGGCAGACTTCCATTTGATAACGTGACCTGGGCAGTATCAGAAATGGCTTCGTCAAAATATTCTTCATGAGCAAAGCCAAAGAATAAATGGGTACCCGAGGGGTCTTTCATCCTCCTACCACAAGGGTCTGAACTGAGGTAAACAGTGCCCTCTGCTAGTTACAGGAGCAGCTTCTTCCTTGGAGAGTTGCACACTCAAATTCTGCCTACAGCCATATATGCTGAGGTTGCTTTCAGTCAGAAAATCCACTGTATGGAAAGTCATTAGTGCAGTTGGTTATGAGGCAAAGGAGTGATTAGCTGTAGAGACTGGGTTATCAGTCAATATCAGCTTTGTTCCGTGTGTTCTCTGTTCAGCACCAAGGGTACCCAGTTAATATTTAAGACTTGGAAAGATGTCTTCTGTCAGTCAGTCAGTTATTTGAGCACTGTATTAACTCGCTCAGCAGTGCCACTCCTGTTGTTTCTCATACACTTGTTCCCCCAAGGCAGTTAACAACCAGCAGGTCTGCATGAGTTTGACTCTGGTCTCATTTAAGACATCATCTAGTCTTAAAGATTCCTTCAACACATGAGCGCTATGGGAGGCCTCCGTTTCTTAGATCGCAAGGATTTCTTTAATTAGTTTCTGCTCATTGTTTCCTCATTGCTGCTCCTCCATACAGTGCTGGGGTTGATGTCCCAGAATCACAGGGTTCTGGCTTTCTACCGTGGCTGTCCTAGAGATGGAAGTCAGGAGCAGCATTTTCTGGGGGTGTAATCTCCTGATATTTGGAAGAAGGGTCTTTGCTCTCTGTTGTTTGCATTGTAAACTATCATGTTATGTTGTTACTCGGATGAAGAGTATTTTACTGGTCCTCTATTTTGGGAAGAACTTGCCAAAATAAAGGAGTAAGGACTTGCAGAATGGATCTTTAAGTAAAGATGAGTAGGAATAAATCACCCCCAGCTACCAGAAGCTGGCGGTTCTGCTGCTGAGATGGCTGACCCTCTGATGTTGTGTATGTAATCTTTCAGGTTGCAATTTCCCCAGCTGGCCCTGAGGCGAAGGTTGGGCCAGCTAAGCTGTATGTCTAGGCCTGCTCTGAAACTCCGTTCTTGGCCTCTGACTATTCTCTATTACCTTCTGCCTTTCGGTGCTCTTAAGCCCTTGACCAGAGTGGGATGGAGGCCTGTGAGCAGGGTAAGTGTGAGCAGGTCTCTTGTGCTTCGTGTCTGTTAGCTGTGTGGTGCTGAAGGGAGCTGGCAGCAGCTGGGTGGAAGGGCCCTTAATATTAGAACAGGCTGAGCATCACTAGCATGAAAGCAGAGAGATTAAACCCATCCCTTTAGTTTTACTGTTTAGAACTGCCGTGACTTAATTGCTTCACAGATAAGTCATTTTTCAGTAGCAGTGAATTTATCTGTCCTCTAATGGTTTGTCCACAAAAATCAACAGAAACTTCTGAATTACTTCAGTCGCCTCAAAGTATGAGGGTGAGGATAATGCAGAGCACATTGCTCTTCCAGTTCTCTTTCCTGGCCATGCTGAAATGGCCTCCTGCTTTTTTGTATAGAGGGGGTTTGTTTTTCAATTTTTTTTTATTTTTATTTTTTTTATATTTCTGGTTGAGCCTTTCCAAATAATACACTAATGCAGATCTCTGCTCTGGCACCGATGAGAGTAGTCTGCAGGCAGCCCTGCATGGAGGTATTCTCTACATCTGTAATGCAGTTGCAGAATGCAGCCACATTAATGTTTCATTTGGGTTCATCACATCAACTTGAAAATCAGATGTTTTGGAAAAGAAAGGCTATAGGAAATATCAGTGACAATTCCTGTGACCTTACAGTTGCACCTGTATATTCTCAGTGCTGGTGGGAAACTGAGCAAAATTGATTTTAGAAATGAACACTGTATAAGGCATGTCAGAATGGCAAAGTGTTTTTTTCTGCGTTACTTCAGCTAGAGCACTGTTGATTTGGAGGATTTTATTTGGAGCAATTTGGTTGTTCATTGCTGAAATGTCACTATTTTCATGTGCAGAATGGTGATTTCTGAGTCAAGTCCTATTTCACTGTGTTTGATAGGATGGACAGGCTCTCAGCCAGCGCGCTCGTTTGTGTTTATTGCCGTACTGTGCAAGCATTCAGCTGGTAGTGAATATGATTAAGAATAAACGATGAGTCTTGCTAAGGAATAAAACAAACCAAACAAAAAACACTTGAAAAATAACTAAAAAAATCTTGGGAGTGAAATACAGCTGAGTTATGTTTGAAACACTGCTCCAGATTCAGCAGAGAACTACTTCTTTTACAAAACTGCTCTCAGAGGGCTCATTTTCCGTGCTACCTCCTACATGGTCACACATACATGTTTTCTGGCTGACTGTGGGTTACACAGACCTCAGAAGCTGGAGTTACCAACAGGGTATGCTGTCATCTGTCCTGCTACATCAGTAGTATACTTCTTACCAATGTTGTTTCATTTGGTTTTTCTTGCTATTAAAATGCATGCTTTGGTGTAAGCCCAAAGGTAAACATATTTCTACAGAAATTCAGGCATTTTAGCAGTTATCAACTTTGTTGTGGGAGGAGTAAGGCTGGCATCAGTTTATACCAGTTTAAGTGCATTGACGTGGGTATATTTTTTCATCTGTATGCATTATCAGAGATACTGGAACATAGAAAATACTGACATTAGGAGGTGCATTATTTTTCTGTCGGTTTTCATTTGGTTGTTCCCAATGAGTACTAAATTGTCAATGTTGAGCCCCTCTGAGAAGTATTCCACTGCCATGTGTGAAATACCTTTTCCTGTAAGCCTCACTTGGGGCAGTTTCCAGTAACTTGAATCTGAAGCTTTAACCTGAAAGGCAGTAGAGTTTCTGACTTCAGTATATAGTATGTAATATATTATATAGCAAGCATGTAGTAAGTTTCATCCTATCCCTTGTTTGCTGTCATCAGAATAGAAGAAGTGAGGAGCGCAGCGTTTAATTTTTCTCTGCTTAAAGGCTAATCCATTTGTGCCAAGGGAGTTGTTGGCACGAACAGCTTCATTCTCTTTTCTTTATGGGAAGGACTGAATGACGTGATGTAATTAATTCTTCCTTCAGGTTGCTCTGTACAAGTCAGTACCAACTCGACTGCTCTCACGAGCCTGGGGTCGTCTGAACCAGGTGGAGCTGCCCACGTGGCTCCGGAAGCCTGTTTATAGCCTGTACATCTGGACGTTCGGTGTGAACATGAAGGAGGCAGCTGTTGAAGATCTGCATCACTATAGAAACCTCAGTGAATTCTTTCGCAGGAAGCTGAAACCACAGGCACGGCCAGTTTGCTGTGTGCACAGTGTGGTGAGTGAAGGGAAATGCAAATGTCCCCCCGCCAAGCAACTTGTCTGCTTGCTGTGGTGGATGGAAGGGTGAGAAAAGCATAAATTCCCACTGCATTTCCTTTTTGTTTTTAATCTGTGCTGTAGATTAGTCCCTCTGATGGAAAGATCCTTAACTTTGGACAAGTAAAGAACTGTGAAGTGGAGCAAGTAAAAGGGGTTACTTATTCTCTGGAGTCTTTCCTGGGACCTCGCATCAGCACAGAAGACTTGCGTTTCAGTGAGGGTAAGCTCTGACCCTCACACCTCTTGTGCTCTGCCCATTCTAAGTGTCCACAGACATCACATTTCCAGGAAAAAAAGCAGTTTTGTGATACTTGTTATATTTTTGGAGATAAACATGTCACTGTTGTAGTTCTTCTTTCACATCAGAAGCTTGCACTATCTAACTCATTCTCCCAGTTTCTTTGGTTGGTTCCATTTCCTGTGGTTATATTAATAATTACAATGACTCCAAGGCCTGCCACGGTAACAGTGCTGTAGCATTCCTGCTGACAGACCATGTGCCTGAGCACGTGGTTAGCAAAGATTGGCTGCTCCCTAATGCATTTTGTGCACAAGCACTGTACCTCTACTGATATGTGCTGTCACCACTTCTGCACCTTGAGCACCATCTTCACGGCCTTCAGTTTTGATAACAGCAACATATTTTGTTGAACTGGAGAGGGGGGAATGGAGAGAGCAAGTTCTGCTAACAGCAGGCTTATTTTCAACATGATCTCCAACACAGAATTTCATAAACCTGAGACCTCTTCACAAATTCTGTTACTTCAGATGGTAGCTTTAGGAAAACAGGATTTCAGTTTTGGAGTTCAGATTCCCTAAGCAGAGAAGCAGAAACTTCCAAACTGTTTAAAACAGTACAGGATCTAATCTCATTTTGTAAAGGGAAAAGAATACATTGACATATTTGATTCTTGGGCCTATTTCTAATCTATCAACACGTGCAGATTGCATTCAGTCCATTGTTTCTAATACAGATTGCTCAACTACGGTAACGATGGCATGAAGAGTACCTTTAACTCCTTTCTTTCTATGCAGTCCCACCTGGCAACTCATTTCAGCAACAACTAGTCACAAAGGAAGGGAATGAGCTCTACCACTGTGTAATCTACCTTGCACCAGGGGATTATCACTGCTTCCACTCGCCCACTGACTGGAGAGTGTCACACCGCCGTCATTTTCCAGGTAGGTTTCTTCTAGAAAATGAATGCAGAGGGGCTGTGGATGGGAGCACTGCTACAGGCCCCTGCAAGTTGAGATGTGCCAGTGGAGCACTTGTACATGTTAGATGATGGGAGCATGGTGCTTTGTCACACATGGTGATGAGTTCTAAGGCAGTATAGTTTACCAGAATTAATCACATGTGAATTGTAAAAGCAGTAATACTGCATTCAGGCTTTCCTAATTCTTGGAAATAATTGTTGATCCAGGTTGATCCTATTCTCCCAGGGGGAAAAAAAAAAGAAGAAGAAAAAAAAAAAGAGATCAGTTTGCATATGAAGTATAGTTCTGCAAGTCAGAGCAAACAGCAGCTTAAAATATAATCTCTGTTCCTGTATTTGGCAAAAAAAAGATACAGCCAAACAGTAATTCTACCAGAATTGGTTTCAGGTGGCTTTGTCTTCCTCTTTGCAGACCATCGTGCTCTAGCTCAGCAAAAAAAAGAGTGTATTTCTTGGTCTTCAATCCCTAATGTCTTGGTTTTGATTTCAAACACTCTTAGGGAAGATAAAAACCTGCCACAAAGTTTGAGAAATCTGCCAAATGCCGGATTTAATCTCTGTTATGAAGTCAAACTCCACAACAAAGGAGTTTAATGAAATGTAACTATCAGATTCAACGTAGTGAAGTAATGCACTTACATCCAGACAGTTCTGCAGTACTGTTATGAGACTGATAGTTGAGCTTGAGTATTTTCTCACTATTGCAGGCTCTTTGATGTCTGTGAATCCTGGAGTTGCTCGCTGGATCAAGGAATTGTTCTGCCACAATGAACGGGTTGTCCTTACAGGAGACTGGAAACATGGATTTTTCTCTTTAACAGCTGTAGGAGCAACAAATGTGGGCTCTATCCGCATCTACTTTGACCAGGTGAGTAAGATTACTGACAGGCAGCCTTCTGGTTTTGATTGTTGAGGTTTGTAAAGCATAATGGAAGAACAATAAAAAATCTAAATCCTATTAGCCTGAAATTAAGATGTTTCACCCTGTTGATATTTTGCACTGTAGACTTTTTAATATTCCTGTTGCATTTTTGAATTCTAAGGTCCTGCATTGACAATGCCTTGATACCCAAAAGCTGTGGCTATACAGATAGAGTATTGAGACTCAACAGTTTCTTCCTTCTCTTTACAGGATTTGCATACCAACAGCCCACGTTACTCAAAAGGTTCCTACAACGACTTCAGCTTCATATCCAACAACAACAAGGAGGGAATCCCCATGAGGAAAGGAGAACATTTAGGGGAATTTAACTTGGGCTCAACTATTGTCCTAATCTTTGAGGCACCCAAGGACTTCAAATTCCACCTTAAAGCCGGACAGAAAATCCGTTTTGGAGAAGCACTGGGCTCTCTCTAGAGACTGACACAGCAAGAAGGCTTTAGATACAGAGGAACTCCTGATACATCGTGGAGTGTTTCACTTGACAAGCATGTATCACTCAGCAGGACCTGGGTGAGGAAAAGAGATGTCTTTGCTGTGTTCACCTTTAGAATATTTGGCCTATATTTGCATATTGCTGCTGAAACACAGAACGAACATGTATGTATCAGGTACAGTTGCCTTTAAAGATACTGACCACGGAGGTTTCTGTCCTACCCTGTGCCTGTAGTCTTTTGTGTTCTCCCCCTCAGTGTGCCACAGGATAACTATGTTCAGAAGCTTATAAATCCCTTTTAAGCCTTCCTAGACTGCAGGTCCAATGGGTAAGGGTGGAAGCAGAGATTAGCTGTATTTAAAGGGACGTTGACAAGTTGAGTCAGACCTTGTACCTTAAATATGGAGTATCTTTTTCAGATCTTAAATAACAGATGTGTTCTCATCTTTATTCTAAAACACTCCTCTGAAGTTCTTACATAAAATGCACGGAGAGCCAGAAAGTTCAATGGACAAGTATGGCTTCGCACTCCAAACTAAGCAAAATGCACAGAGAGTATCTGTACAGTAAGTTACATGCCCAATCTATTTCCAATGTTAGACAACTTTTAATTCTTTTACCTATGTCCCTTTAGAAACGGACTTTGCACTGTATTTTAAAGCTAAAAACACTGTGTCTACATTCCATATGATGAAACTGGTCATCTTGGGATTTTATTTTTTTAAATATTAAGAGACAGATCCATGTGTCCATTTTCTACTCCATGGTTTTATTTTGCTATTCCAGGCCTTAAGGACTTTGCATAAGAGAAAGTTCACTTCTGGAATTAAGGGTTGGAAGACAGATGTTTCTCCTGTGATTCTATGTATCTTCATTGTTGCTTTGTCATCAAATTCTTGAAGAATTAGTTCCTCTATTTACAGAGCAGCTTCAGATACTTCAGGACCAAATTTTATTGCATGGAGTGAAATGCCCTATGTGCTGACAGTGTGTTAAAATATGGCAGATTGTTGAAGCAATCTTTGGCCTCCCAGCTGCCAACCTGGCTGTCCTACAGTGGACTGGCAACTATTTCGTCTTAGCTGAAACAGAAAAAGCCACGCCTGCTCTGACTTCTGCCCTCATACTTAATGATGAGAATGGGCTGGGTCTTGAATGCTTTATGCTGAAGCTTCACCTTACAGTGAAAATTAAGAGCCTTGTTGTAACTTCACATCAAGAAGAGTCAATAACGCCCTGGATCTGTTGAGTATGGCACCAAAAGCCCTGACAGAAACTGTGCCAAACTGGAGAAATTCCATTTTAAAGCAATATATTGATTGGTTTTAGAGTTTAAATTCTTCTAAGTCCAGACACTCCAACATTTAGAACTGTCTTTGCTGCCCAGAACTTGCTGGAGCGGACGTGCTTACAAAATTTGCCTTTTTGATCTCCAAAAATTTCTCATATTACTTTCTTGCTTGAGCCTTGGGTGTTTTTTTCTGCTACTTCAAGGAGCTTAGTAGGCTTTGACCAGCTGTGTTTTCCTGAAGAAATACTTACCTTTTTTGTATGCACTGCAGAAAATAGAATATAATTTTATTGTACACGTCCAGTTTGCCAAGTCCTGTACGCTTAGCTTGTCATCAGGAAAGAAGGGATGGTAAACTGTGTGTAGTGATGTAGTCCAGCTGTGACTCAAAGATGATGGTGGCTGTTCAGGTGACAAGCAGGAGAAAATTCATTTGGCTCTGAGAGTCAGTGTTTCCTCACTTTACCCGGGGAGGAGTCTGAAAGCTTGAAGTGGCTCTCGGCCACCTATGGCGTTAAGCTTCTTGGCATTAGCAAGTTTACTCCTGCAGCAGTATATTACCACAGACAGGTTCTAGAAATGTGTACTTTTTTAAACCACTACGAAATACTAAAGCAAACATCAGCCCCACCAGCTACAGCTGTGATTAGCCTCAACTTCAAAGACAGATTAATAGACAACACCTTCGTTCCCATGGATGAGAGAAAAATGACTGAATCTCTTCTCCTCTTTTCCACTGGGGTTGGTGGCATCCAGCCATAGCCAAAGCAATGTCAAGCTTTAATTTATTGCTACTCAGCAGCATCATCAGCTGCAGTAGCTGAAGGTTAATGACATGCAGTAGGAGGTAGATTACCTGATGTTTGCTTTAATAGAAGTCTTAAGAGGAGGGAGATGATTCAGTGTGTGAGTGGCTGGTTTTGTGAAGGTCTCAGTGCTGTACAGAGCTGGCTAATTAATAAATGTTACTTGCTATGCAGGGGTCAGCAATCACCCTGGAAGTGGAAGCAAAGTTCCTAGAGGGTACTGATAATGCTGTGAATTTCTCCTGCATGGAGAATCCATTGAATTCTTCAACTGTATCAGTAGCACGGTATTTTTGTATGTCAAAGTGTATGACTTACTGACATGAACTCATTTAATTGCAAACATTTTGAAATAAAGAGTCTTATCCGTGTTGCTTATTTCTGTGAAATGTCAGATTAACCTAAGCTCCGTCCTATGAGTGCAGTGTGAAGTTTGTTTGTTTAAAACCAACTATGGTAACAAAATAAAACAAGCAAGAATATTTAAGTTAGTTTATAAAATAGAAGTACCACACCTGGACTAAGAGAATGCATACATCTCTTTCCATCCTCTATGCTTTCCTGCTATGAAAGGGGTGAAAACTGCAGCCACTCCTTCTGGAAGTCGGGTTCATATGAATTTACGTATCCAGAGCAACCTGAATGTCATGCAGGCGAGCAACCAGGTTCTGCACGTGCTGTCTCTCTCGGTGTTGTGCTTTGGTGAGAGCACTGATCCTCACCTCCAACTGAAAGTAAAGAAGGTGGCATGAATTGTTTGTACAAGTGTTTAGTCTTTTTGACTGAGGAAGACTGAATGAGCTCGACCAGCTTTTACGTTAACGGTCAGTGGAGCAAAACTGAAAAGTCTACTGGAGCTGCAGCTACACTTCTGAACAAAGATTCATTGACACAGCAGCCTGCTGAGCTCAGCAGCTCACTTCTGCTTACAAATTTCCCTTTTTTTATTTTAGTAACAGCTTACTAATGATTCCCACAACTGCCATTAGCCTTCAGGCTAAGTGCATAGCATAGAGATGACAAGTTAGACTTTGCTTTGTTTGTTTGCTGTTTACTCACCTGGTCCAATTCTTGCTGAACTTTCTGTATACTATCTTGATCCTGTGGTTGTGCTCTCCTTTCTAGCCACTCGTGTAGAATCTCTGCCTGCTGCCGACAAGACCTGATAAAATGGATTAGAAGGATTCTTATCCAAAGTAGGAGCTCAGCGGTCTAATCCAACTTAGATGTGCAACTAATGCCTTTTTGTTTTGTTTTTGTCCCAAACCAGTGAGGGATGAAAGTATAAAAAGGGGAATAAGGGGTGCTGGGAAGTAGAAAAGTGTCTGGAAGCTGTCATCTCCACCTTTACTCCTATTCCCAGACTTCTGCATTTCATGACAGACCCCACTCCTCCAACCCCCATTCTTTTTCAAGCACTTCAAATACATTTTTAATGTTCTATTGGAGAAGCTCTCTCTCAAGTCCACAGTTTTAGTGGAAGGTTTTTTTTTGTTTTTGTGTGTGTGTGTGACAACCTGAAAATTCACCCCTTGTGATGAAAGAGCTGAAAGATTCATTTGAGCTACACTTCGTTTGCATTGCCTTCAGATTATGGCCAGTGACACTTTGGTCAGTGTTTCTCCAGTACTGCCGAAGGTATAAAACTAAACCAGTTGCAGACTGCAAAAGAAATTGTGCTTGTACCCTTTTCTCTCACCTGGAGTGAACTCCTAAAAGGACAGAAACCTTTGTTTAGTTCACAGTTCCGTGAAGTAGAATGGTTATTTCCATAAGTAGACATGCTCATACAAGCCAATATTGAGCTGACAGCACAAAGAAAGGCTGGCTGTAGAGGCTTTGCAACCTACTTGAGTTCTTGCTTCCTGCTGAAGTAGTACTGCATTTGCTGTTGGATGCTCTGGAGCTCTGCTTCTAGCTTTCTCTGTAGCACTATTTCTTCTCTGGAACTGCGCTTTCTTTCTTCCAATTCAGCTGAATGGAAGATAAAGGGCACAAGCAAGAAAAGTACACTTATTCTGTTTCTTCTTATCAGGGAAAGTCAGGTTAATAGACAGGAAACATGAAACCCTTGAGTCCTTTTCACAATTTGTAACCACATGGCATCTGTTGACTCAAAAGATCATAGCTAAGAAAGCAGGAGTCCTGACAGCATTACAGGCTCTCACTTTAAACATAACAAAGATGAGAAATACTGTAGAGAATAGTTCTGTACTACAAATGCTGCTGATAATTTTTTGTTTTATATCTACTGTAGAAGTAAGTCTGGTCCCATCAAGATAAATGCAGTATAAAGAGGTGCTCAGGCATCATTTATCCTCTTAAGTTTTCCAGCAGTGCTGGGTGAATTCTACCCTCTCCAGCTCAGCTTCATATTCATGCTGGGTATACATGCATACCCCACTGCTAGCACACTGCTAAAATCCTGACCCCGATCAGTTCCAATCCTTCCATCTCCAGAAGGGCTTTAGTTCTATGCTTCAGCAGAATCCACACAGCTTTATTACCAGTCCAAAATAAATGGCTGAATCTTTACCTCCTGATGTTGGCATACAAGAATGCCTTGTCTCCCATGTTTGAGAGTTGAACTACAATCTTTCATAGACTGAAAGAACATGTAACCACTAGAGCTTAGAGCTGAGGACCTACCTGCATTTTGGTGACTCTGTTTTCTCAGTAATTCTTCAGGTGACAGCAAATGTGACCTTAAGCTTGGTTGCAATTTCTCCAACTCTTTTCTCTGTTGACAAGCTTTGGAACAGGCTCCTGTCTGACCACGCACAGGCTGACCTCCTTTCTGCAAGGTCAGAAAGACATTATTTTGTTCCTCGGATGATTTTCCTTAGTTTCCTACCAGGAGGAATGCACCTGTCCCAAGCTACTAAGCCCTCCTCACATGAAAACACTGCCTACAATTATTGAGCCTGTCTCACAGGCACCACTTGTTCTGTGCTATTTGAAAAAAATAAGTTCTTTCCTTGACAGCAGGGAAGTACTCCATCAAGATTAATACCTTTTATTCTGAGTGCAACTGAGGAGTTTAAAATGCAAGCACATCCTTGTAGGTGAAATGAATTTCAGATGCAAGTTCTGGGCTATAGCCAATACTCCTAACCTAAGTTTCTTAAATTCCTGTAATCTTGGCAAACTACTCTGAAATGTTGAAGGAGCTGCCCCCCAGGTCAATTGCTAGGAGGAGCATCCTACTGGGAAGGACACAAGACCAGTACAAATTCTTGCATTGTAGTTTAAAATACATGGGCTGGCCAGCAAGCACAATGTTGCTTTAGATTGGTGGTTCTCAAACATTCAGACAGTTCACTTGGTCAGTTTCTAAGATGACAGCTAGCAGAAAATAAAAATAGCTCAACACCTGGATAGGGAATCCTGAGCAGTCCTAGGAAGAAACAGCAATAAGCTGCTCGTGTGCTGACAGCAGCCCAGTGAGCACACTGGTTTTTCCCTTCAGCAATACACTCACCATTTCTGCTCCAGCTTTCACTTGGGGCATGAAAGATGCAGGAGACCATAACTCTGGCTTCTGAACAGCGCAGTGCACATCACTTGTCCTCGATGGTACAGATGGGAGAGCACTGTGTGTCAGAGGAGAGTAGCAGTGAGTGGTACTGCCCAGTTGAGAGAGCCTCTTACAGGTGTTTTCTTCCATTTCCATTGTTAACATTAAATTCCCATTCTGAGAAGAACATTTGTTCACATCTGTTGGCTGAAAAGGCATTTCTGATCTATAAAGGAAGAAAGAAAGTACCCGTACATTTCAACCTACTGGCTTTATACTTCACAGTCAGTGGAAAAAAAAATAAACAGAATCTTGCTATTACCTCGCATACTGAAATAAGCTCCTGCCATGCAGGGCACTAACTGGCTTCCTAAACCACCAGCAGTACCATAATGGCACAGAACTGCTAGCAACCTACCTCCATCCAGACCTGCACTGACCTTGCTGTAAAAACTAATTAAAAAATCCTTTCAAATGGGAAAAAACAATCATATTTTTAAAACTTTCCAGTTGGCTGTTCTGTTCTGCAGAAGCAACTCTCAATTTAACAAGAAAAATAAGAAAAACAAAATAAAAACAAAAAGCAGTTAAGGTTTCTACGATGCCTACCCACCCTGCTCCAGATCCTTCACACGAACCCTGGCTGAAACAACTTCAGTGGTGACAATTCAGCCTGAGTTTTGGAAATTGGCAATCTCTCATCTTTCCATTCAAACACTGTACTAATGAAACAAAGGCCTTGGTTGCTATTTAATTGACTTGAACGTTCCATTATTCCTGTCCACTTCACAAGAAATCTGAAATTTTAAGGCAATTTTGATAGTACAGGACAATGCACAGTCCCACAATTACTGAACGCTTTGTATTACAAAGGCACGGGAATTTGAGGGGAGAAGCACAGCGTAACACCATTTTCCTTCACAGATTTTCTACCTGGAAAAAGGAGTTCCCAGGAGTTCCTTTCTTTCTAGAGATTCTATGAGGAAGTCAGGTCTTCGTGGTGGTAGCCTTGCTCGTCGGACAACCTCTCTGAAAAGAACAAAACCATGTAGAACCATATAGGATCGTTATTATTTCAAATTGGCATAAGCTAAAGAAATAGTTTTATTCTGTCACTTATCCCCTGCCTGCAAAATTGCCCTTGCATGCAATAGTTTTTTAAGATTAGATTTCAACCTGTATCAATGTCACAACCTGGTTCAATGTGTGTTTATTGTTTTGTCAGATTTCATTCCCATGGTGGGGAAAAAAAGAGCTTCAGTAACAGCTCTAAGTCACTTGGGCAAGATAAGCTCTCACAATGGCATAAATCCCTCCACCACACACTAATCAAGTGTTCCATTATGTAACAGATCCTATGACAAACTATCAATACTCCATAAATTCATAGTTGCATGTTGAGAAAGTCCAGCTAGAAAGTGTATGGCTGAGATTATTCCACTTGTCACCAACAGAGAAGTCACAAAATCCTTTCATTACTTAAAGGGCAATATATATGCTATCAGCAGCTCCTGCATAGCTCAGCAACACCAGCCATGTGGCAAAGTGTCAGAGAAAGGAAAACTGCATGGAAATAACCATCACCACTGTAAAAACTTGGAAACATACCTAAATTTGTTTTTATCTATCTATAGTCAGTATCTATAGCTGAACAAAAGGACAGGGTGCTTTACTTTGAACCACAAGCAAAATTGTATGTGAGATTCAAACAAGGGATGGGATGTAGTGCTCCAAGACACAGATATGCACACATACATACACAGACACACAGACACAGAGTGTAGGTAGAACTACATGTAGGCATCAGAGGAATGCAGGAGAGACTAGAATTTTATGCTCACAGCTCACTGAGAGTTGAGTT